TTTTTTTTTTTTTTTTGGTAGAGGTCATTCCTGCAGGTTCTCCAATAGCAGAGAGGGAATCGGGTGGGCAGGGGATAAATATAATCTTCTCAGACATGGGCCAGAAAGACAGACAGCAACAGGAGTTGCTCAGCACACACAGTCGTGAACACATATTCACACTCACAGCTACTTATAAAGTGAGCAAATGACACAATCAGTTTGTCGTGGCTTGATGTCTTACATGCATGAACAGAGGACAGATAAGAGGTGTTATTTTAGATAGTTTTATATGCTCTTCTCTCCTTCTCCCCAGCAAACACTTACTAATGCCTGGAGCTCTCAGTTTCACGTAAAAGGTTTTTACCGGATGAGTTCACACAAGCTTGTTTGATTTGTCCTCTAGACATGTCTGAAAATCTGTTATGAGCACATTGACTTCTATTACCAAACAAAACTGTAAATGGAAACTAAGCAATATTCCAAACGATACAATTTTACACAAAAAAGGTTTTGGGTAGATTTGAGGGTAATGTGCTTAATTGAAAACAACAACAACAAAAACCAAACTTTAATTTTTTCTTAATTTTGAGGTGAGATATGATGATGGAAACGTTATTTTTAATCATTTTTTTATTTTATTTGTATCTAAACCAGGGGTGTCAAACTCAATTCCTGGAGGGCCGGAGCCCTGCAGAGTTTAGATCCAACCCTAATTAAATACACCTGATCCAACTAATCAAGTCCTTCAGGCTTATTTGAAAACTACATGCCATGGTATGTGTGTTGGAGCAGGGTTGGAACAAAACTCTGCAGGGCCCCGGCTCTCCAGGAATTGAGTTTGACGCCCCTGGTCTAAACAAAGATGTAGAACCCAGTCTGCCCCTGTATGGTTTAGGTATAAATTTATATTCCATGTGCATGGTATATACCATGTGGTATTTTATTTTGCTTTCTCAGAGGAGTCCTCCAGTTACTGTGGTGGATCTTTTCAATGAATTCAGAGATGGAAGCAGACTTTTGGACCTGCTGGAGGCGTCGAGTGGTCAGAGAATGGTAAGTGTCTGATTCATTAGTGGTCAACTGATTTTTCAAAAACCTATGCTGATATCTAGAGAGCTAAGTGGCCATTGCCCAATATACATACACATCTATACCTTTAATATAGATTAATATTTATTTTGCACAATTATACTCCATATCTGCTCAAAAATGTTTGAAAACAGAAGAATGTGCACTATCCATTGACTAGGTTATTGGTTGATTTGGAACTGACACAAGCTGTTATTTGGTCATGTGGGCATGCTTGATAATCTTAAAATATTGGCAGATATACCATTCTATTACAAAAAACAATAGCAGTTATTTTGTGATAACCACAACCTACCTTCATTTCAGAGCCGGGAAAAAGGAAGGGGGACATTTCAGCACAGAACAAACATTGAGAAAGGTCTAGCGTTCCTTAAGAGGAAATCGGTAAGATGCACCAGCAGTGGCCACAGTGGAAAATACTCATTTTCATGTATCAACACATTAATGGATCAACTCAATTCTTGATTTTTTTCCCCCCACAGGAGAAGGTTTTCAACTCGATTTAACTGTGTGCAATCAATTTAAATTTGTAAGACAGATGTTAATCCTTTTGTGTTGGAACTACATTAATGATTTTTGTTTGTTTTGGAAGGGGATTTTCTGTTCTCAGCATGCATGTATTTTGGATGCTGGACAGGCTAATGAAAGTGAAGATTATTCTGTGCTGCTTTGAAGAACAATATCATTTTTCTTTGCCGCTCCAGCCAACATCATGCACTTCACACAACTGTGTGAAGAAAAGCATTACTTTTAGCTCTGCTGTGTAGAGGTGAAATATCAACTGTTACTGGTATCTGTTACATCATCAAAATCTTTGTCCTGCAGATCAAACTGGTCAACATCAATGTCTCAGACATTATGGACGGGAAACCTTCCATCATTCTGGGTCTCGTCTGGACCATCATCATGCACATTCATGTAAGTTTAGTGTCTCAGTCTAACAGAAGAGATGATACAGATGATATTAGCCCCAAGACTCCAGAAATTCTAATAAAGTGTACTAATATAAAATGTACTTTAAATATACTATAACTGAGAAGAGTGATTGTCAATTTTGTGATTTTTCTGATGGGTATTTTACATTGTTTAGATCGAAGAGTTGGCCAGCACATTGAACTTTAGTTCTCGTCAGTCGTCTCTGGAGTCACTGGCGAGTTTGGATACTCGTTCGACCAGCAGCAGTGCCCGCAGCAGTCCAGTGCCACCCCGTGGTTCACCCCTGCACACCCGTTTCCGCGTATCTGCCAAGAAAGCCCTGCTGCTGTGGGTCAGAGAGCAGTGCCAGAGGTGAGGAACAACCTGCTAGAAGGGATTCTTGGAAACAGTGAGATTCTGTTCTATAAAACCCTATTCTTTTTGCATCTTTCTCAGGGCTGGTTGTACTCTGAATGTGAAGGATTTTAAGGCGAGCTGGAGGAGTGGTGTAGTGTTTTTGGCGATACTTCATGCTCTAAGACCGAATATAGTGAACTTAACCAGAGCCCGAACAAGAACGAACAGACAGAACCTGGAGGAAGCCTTCCACATTGCTGAAAGAGAACTTCACATCCCCAGACTACTAGATCCAGCCGGTAAGTGTGTGTTTGTGCCATGCAAATATATGCTGTGTTGTTTTGCTGTATGTATGCAACAAGCAGTGATAAATTTAGGCTTTTGTTTTCTATATGACCTAATCATAGGAGAATGGTGTATTTGTATTTCAGATGTTGATGTTAGGAATCCTGATGAAAAATCTATTATGACTTATGTTGCTCAGTTCCTGCAGTACTCTAAAGATACTTCTGTTTGTGATGAGGAAATGCAGGTTAGCCACACACACACACACGCACACACACATTGTGCACACTTTTCTCATTGACTTTTTTTTTTGCTGTTTACAATGACTATACCCTAAATCTGGTCTCTTACAGATACTTTTTTGCCATTTTTATATTTTAATAAAAATATTTTCAATTTTCAGTACAACATTTTACTAAAGAGCACTGTCCTAATTCCATGTCCTAAGCATGAAAATAAAGGAATTGTTCAAGCAAAAATTAAAGATCTGTCATAATTTATTCACTCTCTTGTTCAAGCTATTTCTTGAACTGTTCCTTTAAGTGGTGTTAGTAGGGCATCATGATTAATCTAAATAAAACCAAAATTACAATAGTAAAAAAAAAAAATTTTTAATCAGTCAATTTTCTTCAGTTCAATCTCAATTGGAAATTTTCCTCTAAGCATGCATCCTTAGGTTTTACTATATTTGTGTGTATTTTTTTTTTTTTTATATTCACCAAGCATAATATTTCAAAACAAGTAAACAGGACAGTATTCCTCCAATAAATCGAAACGCTCTAGTGACTCTTTATGCTCTCACATCTCTTTTTCTCTTCTTCCTCTGTTTATTTTTCGTTCTGTTTTTTCTCTCTCTATGGTGGTTTAGTATCTCACTCCTCCTCAGCGCCTCTCTCCTGTCAATCTGCCATCAGACTTTACTCCTTCTATAGCTGCGTCACCTTTAAGACAGGTAATTCTATCTGTCTATCTCTCTCTTAGTTTTACAGTAGCTGCTGGATTCCTTAACTGCTTTTTCTCTTTTAGTTTGGTAAAGGTGCATTAGTTTTTGTTATCATTTTGTTACCAGGATTATTCATGAATGTCTATGAAAGGTTCATTTGGACTTGTCTGGCTTGTTGTTTGATCCTAAACCAATGTGTAAATGCAGTATATACTGTACACTCTCAAAAAAGGTACAAAAGCTGTCACTGGAGCAGTATTTTTTCAAAAGGTACACTTTTGTACCTTATTTACCTCTAAATCTTTCTACCTTAAAAGTAAATAGTAGTACCCAAAGTGTACATATTAGTACCTAAATGGTACATATTAGTACTTTTTGAAAGGTCTGCCCTTTTTGACTGAACTTTTCTTTTTTTTTTACTGTGGTCCACTTGTGTAATTTTTACTTGAACTGGTCTCTGATCAGGCTCACCTGTTAATGCCCTGTCCAATCAAATCAGGCCCTCCCAAATCACCTGAGACAGCTAGAGCAGCTGCCCCTGGGGTAAAATATCAACCCTGTCCTCTTTTAAGATGCCCCCTATGATGCTCAGTAACTACTAGTGTCTTGCATGTATAAACATGCTAATAACTGTAAACTCAATTACTGTATGAAGATAACCCCAGACATTACAGAGATAATCCACGGAATTAAAGATAATTTATTTAATAAAGCAGATCTTGTGTTTGAGGACTCTAATACACTCAACTTGAGCGTTTGTGGTACATAAACAAAAGCTTTTTAATTACAGACATGCTGAGAAAGTTGGTTTGTGTTAAGAACTTGCTTCCTCTAGAGGACTGCAGTACTAAACTCTGCTTTACTGTTTAGTATGTAATGCAAATAGTGTTTAACTTGTGCACAGCTTTAATCCCATTTTAATCCATATCATTTACCTCATATGGAATATGAAAATATTTTTTGTTTTGTATACCTTGATTATAATGGCACCATAAAGTACTTCTAAAAAAAAAATCAAAGGCTGTGTCCAAAATCGCATACTCTTTGAGTCTGAGTAGGTACTTCTTTTGAATAAGTAATGAAAAAAGCATGTTCTATAGTCCATGTTGGTATGTGTCATGTGACTTTCGAGCATCCGTTGCATTGCTTAGTACAGGGGTGTCAAATTCATGCTGCATTCACGCCATGTTGTAATTACTGTGAATTCGAGATGACAACACGTGACGTTCTACTTGGAGCTGTTCACACCCTTGGACTTGATAGTGCAATAGTCCGAGTCCAAGGGTTCCTAAACATAGCACCTAATGAATGAGGTGGTCAGGGTGTACAAGTTGTAGCTCTCAGAAAACTCCCAGTTCACAAGTTGTAATTATGAGTTCTACGAGGATGTGAACGCTTTTTACAAGTTGGTATCTCGTAATCACTGTAATTATTATATGGTATGAATGCACCTTCAATTCATGGATACTATTTTATTTTGCCTACTATTTTATGAAAACTGTGAATTCGGACATGCTACTCTTTACACATAATGTTTTTATATTACTATACAGTAGGGCAGTATGCAATTTTTTTTTTTATTTGTTGATCTTTCCTTTTTGTTCCTATCTGTCTAGACCTCAGCCAATCAGAAGGCGCAGGAGGTCACATGCTGGTTGGATCAGGCCTATCAGGAGCTGATAGAGGGGTGGGACTCCACTGAAGGAGAGAGCTATGCTGAGAGATACCAAGTAAGACCTAAATTCTTATTCTTTGATATAATCTTATTTTAATGAAATAAAAGTCCACACTGCTGAATGAAACAAGATGCACTAAAGTTATTCTGGGAAATACATTATTTCATTTGATTGAATTGATTTATTTATTTGCAAATAATGTAACAAATTTTTTGTTCCAGAAAAATATTTTATTCCAGTTTTTTTTAAATCTATTGAATATGTTGAGATACTGAATTATGATATCCTATAAACGAAATGAACACATTTTTAGATTTGCGCCTGTTTTTGTTGTACATGATTATTTGCTATTGTTGTTGATTTGTTTCCATTAATATTTATATGATTTCGTGTCAGGTCTTCCACACCTTCATTGTGTCCTTTAACGAACAGCGGCGGCCTGTAATGCCGTTACTAACCGCGATGAAGAGGACTCCTCATCTCAGTGCAGAGCAGAAAGCTCTCAGACGAGCATGGGATGCTCTCGCTGAGAAGGTCAGAGGTCACTGCATCACAGAAACTTTCTTGGTTGTGTTACTTTTGATGGGTTTTATTAATCTATTTTGAGTATTCGAATGCATGTCATCTAAATGGATGCAGTTTCCTCCTAGTGTATAGAAATTCACACAGTAGAAATCTTATGCTAATTTGCACTGATATATGTGTCTGTGGTAGCTGCGTGAGTATAAAACAGAGCTAGACCTGAGTCTCCCACCCCCACTGGACACCGTAGGGCGCTGGTTATTGCGTATTGAAGAGGTTTTATCTGCTGAAGAAGGTGAGCCAATAGATCATGCCCGAGCCGCAGAGGAGGCCCGGGAGAGACTCGAGCTACTAAAGGTTTGACTGACTTCCTTATGTTAATTTTATTATGCCTATAGAGCCGTTCAGTTATGAAAATGTAAGTAATGTCACATTTCTGCCTGTGTGTTTATCTGCAGGTGTGTTTGGAGGAGATGCCACATCATATCAAGAGGTTTAATATGTTTCAAAAAACAAATGAGTTTGGAGAAACTCTGGTGCCGACAGACAAGATGGAAGAGATGAAGAGAAGGTGAGTTTGGTTGCTTAATCAGACATGAGTCCGATTGCAAATGAAACAGCATCACTTTTAATTGCAGTATTTGCTGTTCATAAAATGCAGCAAACTATTTAATTGTTTTGTGTATGCATCCATTTTCCAGGTTCACCGGAGTCCGTGTAACAGCTAAATATCATGGTATTAAGCTGGAGTACCATGAGTGCAGACACACAGTGTTAGACCTGCTGAATCAACTCAACATTAAACTGCGATCTTGGAAAAGAGCCTACATTTCCCAGGAGGCTGTTCGTGTGTTAATGCAGGACTGGAATGTGAGTGAGAATTTTAGTGAAGTCAAAGTGTCAGAATGCGAAAAATATTTTTGCTCCTGGGCATTGCTTAGCAATTAAAATTAAACATTGAAGTCTGAAATTGTGGATGCTTTAAGCGTTGATCATAATGAATGTTTTTAGGAGACTGTGAACAAACAGGAACTGACTTCTTTGCTAGATGGAGCCCTCCATAGACTCAAACTAATCGCCAACAAATACACCAGCAAGGCTGCCTTGGGTAATACAAAGGAACTGTGTATGCATGCTCCTAAATGACCATAAAATTACAGTGTAAATAAGTACGAAATGACAATAAAAAACTATAGATGTATGAAGAACTGTAAAACTGTTAAAAATGTATCCTCTGCATTTTTGTGAAAAGTCTTGTTACTGAACAATCAATAATTATTTGTATTCTGATGTCTGCTTCAGCTGGAGACTCGACTCAGGTAAATCATCAGGTGGCTGATCTGGAAGCAGATGTGACAGTGACTCTGGAGGGTGTACGGATGGTGAGGGGTACTATGGGCCGTGTTTTGGCAGCATGGGACTCTTACAGTGATATCTACACCTCATTGCGCGCATGGCTGGAGCAGGGTCCACATGGCCAGCGACACAGGCAGAGAACAGAGGTGAACAAACACATGTATAGAGAAAAATCTGAATTTACTTTGTTATTGAAGTTACTGTCAATCCATGCTCTGGGTAGACAAAACTCAAATATTTTTAATGGCTGTTCGTGTTTTTTGTTTTGTTTTGTTTTTTAATGTAAACATGCCCTCTCATTGGTTTCCAAGGTGGCATTATCAGTAATGTCAGAGTGGAGTTCTCGCCAAGCTCACCTGAATGAGGTGGCCAACTACTTGACAGAGGTCACAGACCCACAGTCTAGTCGCGCTATTTCAGATGAACTCTGCAAGATAAATCTACTCTGGGCTGACTTTGCCAAAACAGCCCAATTTGTAAGTTACCCATCATGTTCAAACTTAGATACTCCATGTGCAACCATAATCATAAAACAAAGTATTAAAAAACGTGTGCTTATCTTGAATAGGAACAATACATTGTTTTGTCTGATTGCATTGGACAGAGATATAAAATAGATTGCCTTTTGTAGTATTTTGAAGCAAGTTGTATATTTTCAGTCTTTAGTTGAGGAGCCCAGTGCTGACCCATCTAGTGCTCAGACAGTTCAGTCTCTGATAAGGGAGGCCACTCAGTTACTGAAAGAACCTGTGGAGGTGGTTTCTGGATCACTACGTACTTACACAAAGAGACTACAGGTATGCATACATGTTTTTATGAATGTGTGTATGTCACACATACATAAAAACACACAATATATACTTCATATTCCCTGCTTTTTTATTAGTATGCATTTGTGGTTTTGTTGCTTTGTCTTTTTGTTTTCTAAATTTAAGAATAGATCAAGTAGGATTTAACTTAAAATGGTTATTTCTTCCAGCTTATGATGACGAAAATAAAGGATGTGGATCTAGAAGCCCTCTCGCCATCTCTAGACTGCTCTCCAGAAACCCTGAGCAAACTTCAGCAAGCTATACCTGAAGTAAGCAAACGCATTGCTTTGGTTGGCCCTTTAGGTCTTCATTTGCATTGTGTTACTTTTCTTGCCTTTGTGTATGCGATCAAATTGTATAGTATCATATTAGCAGAATATCACGTTTTTAAAATGTTAATCTAACACTAATAATCTTTACTGATGTCTGTATGCATTTCTGTTTTTTTGTGTGTATTTCTAGGTCTTGCAGACACTGTGTGAGGCAGAGCAGGTGTGTGATGAGCTGCGCGTGAGTGTGAGTGGGTTGGATGGGCGTCTTGCTGAACTGTTACACTGGGAGATGGAAGCCAGTGAGTTGTATCAGCTCCTGAAGGAGGAAACACACAGGCAGAGAAGAGGGCAAGACCCCAGAGCACGGGTGAGTGTCTACAAGCAACACAAAATATTCATACATCACTTTACTTAGCTGATTTGGAATAAAGGGCTCTTCTCTCTTGCCCTGTAGCTGTTGATTTCAAGGGGTCTACAGTTAGAGGGTCAGGTGGTTATGGAGGAGCAGGATCTACAGGTGATGGTCATGACTAGTCAAAAGACTTCACCACTGCAGTATCTCATCGTATCCACCACGCAGGACAGAGTCCGCACTGCTGTTGAAAAGTCACAGGTCTGTCGACTGCTTTTAGATTAACAACACCTTTAAAAAAAAAGTTTATCTATAGCATTGGATCAGCTCTTTCAATAATTATCAGTTATGCCATAAATTATGTTTTCTGTTATTTTCCTTTAATTCCTAGGAATGAGTAACCTTGTTTCAGAATTGCACGCAAATGAATTATGATTTTGACATTTTGCTAAATCTCAACAGGAAGCCATAGGGATGCTCAGCTCTTTAGGGGCTTGCAGAGACAGAAGCCCTGTTAGAGACCAGCCCCCTTCCAAGATCTTTGTACAGTATCATGAGATAGAGGAAGAGTCCCAAACCCAAAAACCCTCCTTCCAGCCTATCTCTCCATCAGGAGCCTCTGGCCAAACAGAACCTCAGCCTGCAGTCAGGGCCAAAGTCCCAAAATATTCTCAAATACCCTCAGAGGTATCTTCTCAAGTTGTAGACCTGAAGACCCAGCCTTGTAGTCAGACTGTGCCTATGATTGTTGTACAAGACTATGAAGTGGAGAAAAGTAGTCCAGAACCACAAATGCACCCCTGTATGCAAGTGAAAGACTCTCAGTCCATTAAAGTTAAGTCACAGAAAGTCCATGCTCAAACAAAAATCGACATAGAGCATCATGTAGAAAGCCAGATATCTTTACCACAACCTGTGACACAACAACAGACAGAAAACCAGGGGCAGGTGCAAGGTCCAGTAGCTAGCCAACCCTCACAGAACCTACAACAAGCAGAATCACAAGTACATAATGAACAACAATTAGCAACACAGCCATATGTGCACATACAGCAACAAGAGAAAACTCAGCTTGCAAAACAGCAGAAGGTTCAACCACAAGTACCAATCCAGTCAGAGCCTCAGGGCCAACTAGAAACACAAACACAGCAAGCTCCAAAGCAGCAGAGGAAAGTTAAGAAGTCCCAGGCACATCTGCAGAACAGACCTTGGCTTCAGCAGAAGAGTCAATTGGAAAATGTTACCCAAAAACCAGCACCACAGTTGGTGCCGCAATCTCAGTCAGAGCCTGAGGACAAATGCCAATTAAGTTCTCAAACACCACCACAGAAGATAGTGACTGTTAGCTCACCTAGCTCAAAAAGCATTGTTGAGAGTGATGAGAAAGACCTGAAGCCAGCTCAGCCTATTGCACAAGAGAAACCTCTTGTAGTAACACGAAAACTACCTCAAACTTTGCCAGCAGTTCCAGCACAATCAACGACTCAAAAACAAACACTACAGACAGTGACTGTTCCGATTCATAAACAAGTATTAACCCAACCTCAGCCCTCTTTATCAACTCAAGCTCAAACAACTACACAACAACTACAAGCTACTGCACCCATTAAGCAACAAAAGCAACCTCAAGTGATGATCCAGAAACAGGCTCAATCTCAATCCATGACACCCATGCAACCACAGGTTATGGCCCAATGGCAGCCACAACAGACTATTGCTAAAACTCATCCTGCAGTGCCACAACCACAAAGATTTTCAGTGGCCCAAACAATGCCTCAAGGCACTTCCGGACCAGCCCAACAGTACCAAGCATCACCCATTCAACCACAAATAATATTGCAGAGACAACAGTCACCACATGGTGTAGTGCAGGCTCAGTCCCAGCAACCCACAATGTACAATCCGACTGTAATTTCCCCTCAACCTAAAGGTGCATCCCCCATAAAACCCAGAATCATCTCTATGCCTCGACCCCAGATGCCTGTTCAATCTCAAACCCAAACTCAGGTCAAAGCACAGGGAAGTGCACCACTTATGATTCAACCTCAGGGGCAACCCCAGTGGTATCAACCAGGAGACGTCACCCAAACATACCCCAAAGTCCAAGGACCAATTTCTGTTGCTGCCCAGATGCAGTCACTGGCCCATTTCCAAACTCATCCCCAACCTCAAAGTATCCCTCCAGCTCAACCTCAGCAGTGGTCACCAATAAGACCAGGCATAGTGGCCCAGACCTACCCCACTGTCCAAGTTCCAGGTCAGGTAGTCCACCCTCAGTCTCAAATGGCAGTTTACCCTAAAAACCAACCGCAATCACAGCCTCAACAGTGGCCCTCTGCTAGACCTGAATCACCTTGGTGTCAATCACAGATGAGACCCCAAGGTCCAGCCCAGCATATGGTTTCCTCACAGCACTGGAGGCCTGTCAGTCCAGTATACCCCGGGTCTGAAACCCAAGGGACCATAGGACCACATTCTCAGTCCCAATATCAAGCCCCACCAAGGCAGCCAAGCCCTCAATGGCAGTGGGGTCCAGTCCGGCCAGAACATCAGTTTCAAGTCTCTTCCCAGACTACGTTCCATGGTGGTCCCCCGCCAGTAGCTCCATGGAATCAACCACCTGCTCAAGCTCCTATAAGACCTCAGATTCCACAACAGCCTCAGCAAAGTCAGCAAAAGTGGAGTTCATCCAGGCCAGAGGCCCCATCTGAAACCCTTATCCAAAGCCAAGCTCCCCAGGCAGAGCTTCAGTCCCAAGATCTGATGCCCCAACAGCAGTCAGCTCCTCGGGTTAAGCAGTCAGCTCTTGCCCAGGCACCCCCTCAAGCCTACACTGAGGCTTATATAAAGGCACAGGCCCTGGTTAGAAATAGATTTGAGGAAGCCAAGCACTGTCTTCAAGAGCATATTATAGAAGCAATCAGTGTATTCAAGGACAAGCGAATGACGAACGAACAGGCATCAGTTAAGGAGGTTTGTCCATTTTAGTCATGAGTTAGTTTGCTTGTTTTCCTCAAGTGTTTGCAAGAGCTAAAAAAAAGCCTAATATGATTAAACTATATTGTTGTGCCTGTATCTTTTATAAGAGATGGTGGTTAATTTCCCCAAGTATCTGTGTTGGGATGAGTTAGTTTGCTTGTTTTCCTCAAGTGTTTGCAAGAGCTAAAAAAAGCCTAATATGATTAAACTATATTGTTGTGCCTGTATCTTTTATAAGAGATGGTGGTTAATTTCCCCAAGTATCTGTGTTGGGTTTTTTTTTTTTTTAGGAGACGCTTCGGACTCTGGACCCTGAACTTCTTGAAGAGTTCTTGAGAGCTGCAGAAGGGATGGAAGCTTTCTGCACCCCATCTGAAATAAGAGACATGGAGTTTTTCACACAATCCGTTAGAACACAGTGGAAGGTATCTGTATAGTAATATTAGTGCTTGTTTGTCTATATCTGCAGTGTGACTTTAATATTATTAACCATTTTTTATTTAGATACTAACTGAAATGCTCTACACTGTATTAAACTGATTGTATGTGAAGTTACAAACATTAAGAGGTTGTCTGCTTGCTGTTGTGTTTTTTTTATTTGATTAATATTTTTAGGCTGTTCGAGTGCAAATATCAGAATTTTTGAAGCAACTCCGATTTGAGCTAACCCGCCTGCATTTTAACCGTGTGGTGGAGACATGTGAGATAAACTTTAAGAGGGAAAAACTCAACCTTAGGCCTGAATCAATATCAGAATCAAAAGAAGAGGTAAAGTTACAGCTACCCTGACCACGGAGCATGGAACAGTCATATGGACAAATGGGTGTGGGGATGAAAATCTCTTAGCTACGTTTTATTTCCTCCTTTGTTTTATAAATTAAACGTTTGCTTTTGGTGTCAATTAATCCCTTCTAATTCGTGTCTTTCCTCTTAACCACATCACTACTCACTTGCTTGGCACATGGCACAACCTTAAACTTAGCTTAAAAATACTGCAAAATAAAACAACAGTGGAAAGTAAATAAATTAAAGTAGCATTAAATAGTGTAAGTAAATAAAATGATAAATGATAAGATATGAGTAAAAATAACAAAAAATATACATATAAGTAGGTAAAAAAAAATTCCCCTCTCTCTCTTCCTGCAGGCTTGTTTGTCTGAGGAGGACAGTCTGGCAGAGGCAGGACAGCAGCTAGAAGCTCTGAAGGAGTTGTGTGATACTTTGAGCCCTGAGGACGCACACAGGCTCGCACAAGCCCAACTCGGAGAATGTGAAAGACAGCTTGCTGCCATCCAGCGGCAGTTCAGTGGAGACAGAGATACATCTCCACCAAACACTGGGTAACAGAAAAAGCCTCTCACATATCGGTTATTTTAGTCTGATGAAACAATTTTAGCATAAATGTATAAATTTTTCAATACCTAATAGTTTACAAACAGAGCAAACAAAAGAGCCACTCACTCAGAAAGCACCAACAGTCCCACCACCACCTGAGAAGCCCAAACAGGTTATTGTTTCAGAGGTACAACTATATGATTATTTTATAGAACTTATGTTTTAAACTTATATAATTTTATCTAAAACTTTTGGTACATTTTGTTTTAGGCTGTTACACCTGTTAGCCCCCAGCAAACGAAATCTGTGGAGAAGAGAGAGATAGTGAAACAAACGAGTACAGAAGACGACAGGTATGGATATAAAAAGAGAATATCTATGTGTTTCTGTAAATGATTGCATGTGATATTGTTTCAGAATCTTATGGTTTATGCCTTTTTCTTGAACTGCTTAGGTACCGCAGCTCCAGATTTGCATTACAGGCTCAGTTAAACAGAAATGAGCAATGCATGCTTGGAGATCGTACCTCAGAATCAGTCACTCCCACAGACCTGCAGAAACGACTGAGAGAATTAAAGGTAATGCACAGTGTTTTGTTTAAAAGTTGGCCATTTGATATTATTATGAATTTTCAAATGACAATTACTATAAAAGTCAGGCCATAGAAACTAAAATAACTGCCACGGAAATTATTCCATTTTAACCCTCTTTTTTTTTGTTTAAGTCTCTGTGGGATGAGACTGAGTCTCTGTGGAAGGAGTATGAAGCGCTGTGTATGCAATGTGTTCAGTACAATGAACGAGCTGTTGAGCAAGACCGCATGGAGCTCACTGTCCGGTGGAGAGAGCAGAGGTCACAGTTACAGGGCAGGTATGTGTGTGCATTCTGAAAACATCCCTGTCATATGCGTGTTCAGACATGACATTACACTGATTTTTCAGAGCAGTACAAGCTTTAATGTGTGTTTAATGTTAATTTAAATGTTAAATGTTTAATTTAAAATTAGTGAGCTGAAATTAATATTCAGATAAAATCATATTACAGCTTCTTGTGTTCACTTTCACTCTGTACAACCCAAAGAATCATGATCTGCTCAAATTAAAGAGTTCCTGAGAAAATACCCTGTAGCCAGAACTTGAGTGTGTGTGTGTGTGTGTCTTGTGTTTGTTAAATATGTCTGAATTCTGTCAGGGTGGATTCACTGGGAGCAGCACTTGAGCTCATGGACTCTATTAAGCTGAAGATCTCTGAGATTTCTGAAAGGCTGGACAGTTTCATCAAAGAGCCCAAAGACATTAAGGGATATATACTAGCTAACCCTGCCATTTTGAGAGATGTGAAGGTGAGAGACTATAGAGCTATTGTTTTTAATATTTTTACATTATTCATAATTATATTCACTTATTCTATTTTTATGTACACTGAGCAAATTAAAAGAGAAATTTACAAGAACTTAAATGCCATTTTATTTGTTAATGTCATTAGTTTTATCTTTCCCATGCAACAAATAATAAAATATATAATATAAATAATATAGGTATTGTTTTTAATATTTTAGTATTATTCATAATAATATTTACTAATTTGTATTTTATTATTTGCAATTAATTTGAATCATCTATCAGTGCTTTGTGCAGTTACTATTTAAATATAATATAATATAATATGATCTGAGAGACAAGAATGTTTCATGTAAAGTATTTAGTAGTAATTTCACTGCATGTAAACTAAGTTATATGCCTCCATCCCATTTTTATCTAAATATCTACCTCTCCCTCTTATTTTCAGGACTTAGATGAAAGTATCCAGACAGAGATGGACCGTCTGTCTCGATTCGACTCTGAGCCCAGTCATCTAGACCTGCGGGACCGATCACCTCTGACCCAGGTGGTTCTGAACCACAGATCCAGCCTGGACCGGCTCAGGCAACAAGTGCGCAAGAGTGACGCTGCTGCCCGTGCTCTCGACCGCTTCCTCATGTCCCTTCGCACTGTGGAGCTTGATGTCTCTTCTGTGCAAAGTGCCCCCAGCAATGATGCAGTGGTCCTGCAGGACAGCAGGTCCAAGCTGGCACTAATCAGAAAGGGAGTCAGCAGCCTTAAGGATAAGGCTCCACAGCTGGACCAGCTTTTAGGTGGAGCACAGCTTGAAGTGACACAGGATGGGAGACCTGTTTCCTGTTTGGACATGGTGGGGGTACTGGTTCACAGGGTGGAAGAGGCAGATGATCGACTGATGATTCGACAGAATGAGCTCCAGAAGGAACAGCAGAACCAGAGCCACGGTCTGAGGGGGAAGACTATGCAGGCTGAGTTGAGGAAGGTGCAGGTGGCAGCAGAAAAACAGGGTCTAAAAGATCCCACCATGCCAGCTGTGCAACACCGGTATGGATCTTTCTTCCCTAGACCTCATGATGCAGATGCTGTGGTCTTGGAATTGTCTTTATTTGGGCTCAGTAAATATTGATTTTGGAATTAATTGAGATTAATTTGAACTAATAAGCAAATGATGCAATTCATTCAAAGAATGTCCAAGTTTGTTTTTTCTATACAACAAAAGTTGACTTACAGTAACTCTGTGTTCTACTTCATTCTTCTGACACTGTGTATACAACTATGTTTAGGATGCGAGCTCTGTCCGATCTCGAATCACAACTGAACTCTCTTCGCCCCGAATACCAAAGCATCAAGAAGGCTCTGTCTGAAGTCTCTCAACAGAAAGAGCACCCTGATCCAGCAAATGAGGAACTTGAATTTCTTTGGGAAGAGACTGAAAGAGCTGTATCTGACAGGTGGTTTCTATACCCAAGTTGAGATTTACTCTAAACTAAATAATGCAATTCACCCATTTTTCTTTCTTAAAGGGTAAGTTCACCCAAAAAAATGAAAAATCTGTCATCATTTACTCACCATCAAGTTGTTCCAAACCTATATTAATTTATTTCTTCTGCTGAAAACAAAAGTAGATATTTTGAAGAATGTGGGTAACCAAACAGTTGCTGGTCTCCATTGACTTCCTTAGCATGGGAAAAAAAAATCTATGGAAGTCGATAGGGATCAGAAACTGTTTGGTTACCCACATTCAGAAAAAAGAAATTCATTCAGGTTTTTTGGGTGAATTTTTGGGTGAACTATCCCTTTAATTACAGGTGTAATTGACAGAAACCCTGTGTGTGTGTGTGTGTGTGTGTGTGTGTTTGACAGACAAGAGCAGTGCACTGTTCTTACGGAACTGCTGAAGAAATTTCAGAGCTGTTGCAGTTACCTGGGCAATACTCTCCAGAGGGCGGAGCAAACCATCAATGAGCAAGCTTCATACATGGGCAAAGACAACCTACAAAGACTCCTTGCAAAAGTATGTCAGCCTCAGACTAATCACAATGCAAGCTAATGTTATAATTGCCTGGTTTCTTTCACAGAAAAGTAATTCCATACTGGATAAGCACCACTAGGGGTCAGATATTACAATTCAGACAGAGATGTACAGTAGAGCTTAGTACGAAGCAGTCTTATTTTAAGTTCATCCTGTAATTTAAAGGGATAGTTCACCCAAAAATGAAAATTCTGTCATTAATTACTCGCCATCATATAGTTCCAAAGCCGTAAGACCTTTGTTCATCTTCAAAACACAAATTAAGATATTTTTGATGAAATCCGAGAGCTTTTTGACCCTGCATAGACAGCAGCACAACTACCACGTTTTATGAAGCTACGAGAACACTACTGTGCACAAAGAAAACAAAAATAACAACTTTATTCAACAATTTCTTCTATTACCTGTCAATCGACTGACAGGGAAGCGAAGAAACTGTTGAATAAAGTCATTATTTTGGTTTATTTGCAAACAAAAAGTATTCTCATAGCTTCATAAAATTACGGTTGAACCACTGATGTCACATGAACTATTTTATCAATGTCCTTACTACCTTTCTGGGCCTTGAATGTGGTAGTACCCTTGCTGTCTATACAGGGTCAGAAAGCTCTCGGATCTCATCAAAAATATCTTAATTTGTGTTCCGAAGATGAACGAAGGTTGGAACAACATGAGGGTGAGTAATTAATGACAGAATTTTTCATTTTTGGGTGAACTATCCCTTTAATTTTGTATCAGCATTAATCACAATTTGCTTAATCTGCATGTACAGAAAGGGCTTCACTTTTATTAATCTCAAAGAGGCTTCTCTTTCCATTAATCACAATTTGCTTAATCTGCATGTACAGAAAGGGCTTCACATTTATTAATCTCAAAGAGGCTTCTCTTTCCAATTTGTTCTGACAAATCAGTGCCAATGTTAAATTAATTTTAAATTTAAATTTTCTAATTAATTTGATTATTTGTTCAGATCCTCCATGGCCTGCAGTACATTTATTTGTAGAGATATGAATAAAACTTTAGGTAATTTATTATCAATGTGTAGTCTACAATTAAGTAACAATAGTAGTAATAAGTGCTCATGTTCAAAGGCAGGATTAAAAAAGTCTGGTTATGTCTACTTAGTTAGAGTAGCTTAGATCTTTAACCATCAGACTACCACCCCCACAGTCATTTTATTTAATTTTATCTCATACTGTTTCTATTTCAATTTTTCTATTTCTAGTAATGTTTCTGTCTGTATATTGTAGGTCGTTGGCATAAAGGAGGATCTTAAAAGCCTTGGACCCAAGATGGAGGAGTTCAGATCTGTGTGCAGACAGTTGCAGTCCCAGCTGAAGAAAATTCCTGATTGCTCGATAACTCCATTTGAGATGGAGGCAGATGCTTTGGTGGACTCATGGCTGGATGTGAGGATATGAAAAACATCTACAGTATTCACATGCATCACATTTTGTTCAGTCATTTTAGATTCTTGGTAAATCTGTGTGTCTCTCTGGCAGGTGTCAGAGAAGACAGATAGTTACATGGATAACCTGCGTGTGGGTCTGGAGTTGTGGGAGAAACAGCTGGTTCTGGGTGGAGAGGTGGACAGCTGGACCTCTACTAAACTCATTATCTTTTCAGAGTCTCACCCTTTCAGCAGTGAGACGGAGGTTGCCAGCATGAAGGTGTGTCTTCAAAAAAATACTTCATCTGTCTTGAAAGGATTCAAAATATTCACAGGCATGGACTAAAAGTCACAAAATGTCATTTTGATTCCATGGGGTCTTCTGTGTGTATACTAGAATGAGATTCAGTCTCAGGAGGACAACCTTGAACACTTCCATAGGAAGTTACTAGAGATCCAGGAACTGCTGCAGAGCAAAGAATCTCCTCTTGAATTACAGGTGAACGTGCATCTTTTACTGTTTATTAAATTTTTAGACTTTCCTGATTCCTTATTATTCCTACTTTTAAATGTGCACACACACATTGTCTTCCTTAGGTAATGGAAACAAACCTGAGGAAAAAAATGGAGCAGGTGAAGGAACTCTTCTCCGATTGCACTGAAGTGTTCCAGGAGCTCCTTACAGTTAAAGCTCATCTGATAGAAAAGATTGACACCTATCAATCATCTGTGAAGAATATACACTCCTCAGTAGATATGACCAGTTCAGAGGATCGCGCAGAACTGGATGCACATTTACAGGTATGATTAGCAGACATGCCTAAACACACTGTTTTGGTATATAACCGATTTTATTTTCTGTTTGTAGGACTTGTGTGAGCAGCTTTTGGACCAGGAGGGGCAGGCTGAATCTTTGCTGAAGGAAATCAATCTCATGTCCAGCATAACTGGATCACAGGCCTTGGAGGAGCTGACCAATCGTAGTAAGCACCTCAAAGACAGCATTGCGGAAACACGGGAGCTGATTCGTCAGAAGAAGGAACAAGGGGAGAAAAGCTTCCTTAAGACTATTAAAGGTTTGAGAAACCGCATTCTACATTGCTCCATTGCTACAATTAAACAATGTAAAAGTGGAAAAAGTGATTTGAATTTTGTCCATTTGTCCTATTGGTTCTCTGCAGAAGAGTTTCAGTCATTTGAAGAATGGTTGCAGGATGAGCAGTTCACTGTGAATGAGTGCTTTGAGAACCCTGAGAGAAAGCAGGATGTAGAAACATCTATGCAGAGACTGACAGTGAGTAACAGTGAGGTCCCAACACTATGATTATGATTTCCATTGTAGCTAGGACATTTTAGAAATATGTTTCAGTCAAAGAGATGTGCTGTCCAATACACTGATTGCAGGGACAGCAATCTAATGGCAAGAGTCACCAGGTGATAGCAGCCTTAGTCAAAAGGGTTCAAATTTAGTTCAACAGTACTGAACAGTTTGTGTTTTCTTCAGCGTTTCCTGGCCTCTAAAGAAGGAGAACAGCGTCTGGCTCAGTTGAAGGAGAGGTTTGAGCGAGGTGGACAGGCAAAGCTCCCTATTGAGGCTCAAGCTTTGCTCTCTACATGGCATCAGGAACAGGAAGGAGAACTGGCCACACTCAGGGCTCACTGCCAGGGACGCCATAAACAGCTAGATGACATCCTCCACAACCTCAACAGGTACATGAAAGAAGTTCTCATCATTGCTATTGGTTGTTACTGTTGTTTTAATTCATTAATGTCTTTATGTCTTTAGTTTGCAAGAGGAACATAACCATTTGAAGGACTGGCTGCAGCAGAGAGCGCAAGTGCCAGAACAGAGAGAAAAACTAAGGCAAATCCAAGAGGATTTTCTTAAAGAAAGGTACCACTCACTATTCAAAATGTTAATTTTTTATTTTTGTTTATAACTTTAGTTATAAACTTAGTCCAGATTAAACTATAATGAAATAATATAACAACACATTTGCATGTTCATGGTTCTCTGATGTTAGTTAGTGGTCATGTGACAATAAGTTAAATAAAATATTTCATTTTATAATTTGTGGTAATAATAATATTAATAAAAATATATATTTTTATTATAATTAGAAAAATAAAGAGAAATAGATAAGCTACAATTACATTATACAATAATAATAAATATTTAATTACAATAATTTTATTTTACAGTTTACGGTATCATACTAATATTTATGTCAGATTTTAAAATCGAGTTTTTAATTTGGTGGAAAACTGCAAGGAGAACTTTAAGTTTCTGTTTTTAGTTGACCACAGGTTTATGGTTTGTCAAAAATTAAGTCTTGGTACAAATCTGGTAAAATGCTAAAATTCTGTCCACAAAATGTTTGAAATTGACTGAATACGAAAATCAAGTGATCCTGACGGATTTTGCATTCCCAAATGCACACTATAAGTGAGCCAAACTTGCAGCACACTATAAGTGAGCCAAACTTGCAGCACACACAGAGATGGAGGTCATGTTGAGTAGCGTTTTTTTTCTTCTTCTGGAAAACCAACCACTCCAAGATGCTGAAAGCACTGCATCATGAGCTGCTTGCATGCAACTGAACACAGTGCCGGACTTCATCATTGACTAAATTGCAGCCTTTTGCAGTTTGATAATCGAACTAAGCCATATCATAACTTCAATTTTATTTAGATTAATTGTGCAGTCTTTTATTTTATATAAAACCTCCATTACTCTTACTTTCACCCTTAATCCACAGTGGGAGAACTTTAAGTTTCTGTTTTTAGTTGACCACAGGTTTATGGTTTGTCAAAAATTAAGTCTTGGTACAAATCTGGTAAAATGCTAAAATTCTGTCCACAAAATGTTTGAAATTGACTGAATACGAAAATCAAGTGATCCTGACGGATTTTGCATTCCCAAATGCACACTATAAGTGAGCCAAACTTGCAGCACACTATAAGTGAGCCAAACTTGCAGCACACACAGAGATGGAGGTCATGTTGAGTAGCGTTTTTTTTCTTCTTCTGAAAAACCAACCACTCCAAGATGCTGAAAGCACTGCATCATGAGCTGCTTGCATGCAACTGAACACAGTGCCGGATTTCATCATTGACTAAATTGCAGCCTTTTGCAGTTTGATAATCGAACTAAGCCATATCATAACTTCAATTTTATTTAGATTAATTGTGCAGTCTTTTATTTTATATAAAACCTCCATTACTCTTACTTTCACCCTTAATCCACAGTGGTCGTGTGGAGGCATTCAATGACCTGTTATCTGCTGTAAAGATGCGTGGCCTGAGGGGAGATCCTCTCCTTAGAGCCCCCGAGACCCTGATAGACCGATACCACAGCCTGGGGATTCTTTTGGAGAAACAAGTCCAAGTCCACAAGATCCTTGATGATCAAATTGAAACATTCCAAACCAATGCAGAACAGATCAGAGCCTGGATCAGAAATGTAAAGCAAGGACTTGAGTACTTGGGGACAGACACACCAATGCAGGAAAAACACATAAATACTCAGGTGGGCCCCCTAACCCTCATTGTTTGGATTTTTTTTGCTGTATTTTGAGGGAACAACTGGTCAAACATCTTACACTGAAAGGAATGATGAATATCCTCAGTGTATTTAGAATAAAATTGTTTTTTTCCCCTTTGTTTTAAGGCTGTTCTTAATCTTAGTCCTGAGGGTGAGGCTAAACTTGTGGCTTTAAAAGAAGAGTGTGATGCTTTATGTGTTTATGAGATTTTGGAGGAGACCAGAAGACAGGAGTTCATTCACACCCTTGGAAACATTGAAGATGAGTGGAAAAGAGTTCTGAATATGGCTCAACAACTAAAACATCAGGCAGAACTCCAAGACACTCTCAGTATGGAACTAGAAGATCTACAGGCCCAGGAAGAGAGCATCCAATCCTGGGTGAGAGAACAACTGCAAATGCTGCACTCTTTGGGGAAGGAGCTTCAGCCACATGAAAAACTTAACAAAGTACAGGTAAAGACAGAGGAAAACATTGTTTTATTAAAATCTTTTCATTGCTCTTGCATGATTCTAACCCAGGTAAAACTGTGTAAAGGTTGCTAGCAGTGCACATACTGTGTTGGGAGTAATGTCTGTACATCCTCTAGGCTGTCATAGATCTTGGTGATGAAGCCGATTCCAGATTGGCCAGTTTACAGAGACAAGGACAACATTTATGTTCTTATAAAAAGCTTGAGAATGAGAGGAGGAGCCACATTGACCAAACCCAGAGAGCAGTAGAAGAGGAGTGGAGGACAGTGCTACAACTTGCACAGGAGCTCAAGAACCAGGTCAAGCATGAGGAATCTCTCTACAGAGAGTTACAAACTTTCTGTGATCAGGGAGAGGACACTCGATCCTGGATTAGACATCTCAGAGGGACCCTGGATTCCCTTCATGTGACATCTTCCATTCAAGACAGGCTTATTGGAGTTGAGGTAATAGAGAGGAAAATTAAACCCTTAAATGTTTTTTGTTCGTGAGAGGCTTGGGAAGGGACAGTGAGTCAGTAAGCCTAATTTATGATAAAATGTAATATTGAAAATGGAGCAACTGCTCAGGGCATACATTGGATTATATCAGACGACTAAAAATTGTAGCCAACACATCTTAAGCATTCAAAATGTAAGGCTACACAAATATGATTTGTACATGAAGTGATGGGACAGGTTTTGTTACTTACCTGGGAAAAAGCTTTGATGGCTTACATTATTGCATGAAAAAATAAAAGCATGGTAAAAACAATTATGTTCTATATGAATATCTTGTTTTTGTTTTTTGTTGTTGTTGTTGTTTTTTTTAGGCACTACTAACTCATAGATCTGAGGGGGACTATAAACTTTCTGACCTAAAGACAAAGGGAGAGAATCTATGTTCCTGTGAAGATCTAGAGGAGGACAAATGTCAGACAATCCAACATACATTACAAAATGTACAGCAAGAGTGGATGGGAGTTTTGATGCAGGCTCAGGAACTGAAGAACCAATCAGAACTTGAGGATTCTCTTTCTAAGGACCTTCAGGATCTTCAAGAAGAGGAGGAGAACACTCAATCTTGGCTCAAACAGCAGCATCTGAAAATTGAATTGCTAGGTCAAGAGACTCAGTTACAAGAGAGAATGCATGGAGCTCAGGTAAGAGACAAAGAGTGATATTCAACCTTCACCAAATATGTACTTAAAGAAAACAGTCTGGCTTACTCGCTGGCATGGTTTGTTTACTCTAGGCCATCCTGAACTCAGAACCAGAGGGGGGTTACAAGCTAGCCAACCTGAGGAGGAAAGCAGAGGGTTTGTGTTCTCGAGAAGGCCTGGAGGAGAAAAGAAACCTGGAAATCCAGCTGAACCTGAGATCCATTGAAGAACAATGGAAGAAGGTCCTGGCAAGTGCTCAAGAACTAAAGAACCAGGCGGAGCTCCAGGATTCTCTTGCGAGGGAGCTTCAGAATGTCTGTACCCAGGAGGAGAGCACCTGGACCTGGGTGAAGAACCAGAAAGTTGGCCTGGACTTACTGGGGGAAAGCACTCATGGAACACTGGAGCAGACTGATGAGAGACTAAGCAAAGCACAAGTAAGTTGCTCAATATGGAAAAACAGAAGAAGAAATTAAATGTCTGTAGTAAAACACTTATTAAAAGAAGTTCAACTGCACTGCACATGATCAACAAAAATGTGACGGTCAAGAACAAGCATACCTCTCTGTCTTTCAGGCAATTCTAAGTCTGCACTCTGAGGGCAACTCTAAGATTGCAGCCCTGAAATGGACAGTAGATTGTCTTTTTAGCCGTGAAGATCTTGATGCAGATGCAAGACATTCTCTCATTAAGAAGATGAAAAATGTAGAGGAGGAGTGGAAGATAACACTGCAGCAAGCACAGGAGCTGCATAGGTTTGATATGACAATTCTGTATGTAAAATGTAATTGCACAAATCACTGTTAGATGATTGAAATTAACTGCAAATAATCATATTTATAAATATATTCCAAGCCCATGTACTCGTATCATAGCATATATTACTCCTCATTCTGCAGTCTGCTGAAAAGTGTAAGGGAACGTCTGGTGTCCTGTCAGTGTCAGAAGGACCAGCTTCAGTCTCGTCTGGAGCAGGTGAAACAGCAGACTGCTGCACTGCCACGGCACTTCCCCTGGCCTGGTTTAGGGGATCGAAGGCACACATTGGAGCAAGCCAAGAGTCTGCTAGATCGTACCAGAGCCCTGACCCCATCGCTGTCTGCTGTCCGAGCACTTGGGAGGGAGATGAGCCAGCTGACCCGTGATTCCAGCTGGATTGATCCATCCTGGTCCACCATAGAGGAGTGCATACCTGAGTTAATCAAAGATCTTACGGTAAGGCTGTAGAGGTGTGCTGTGCTAAATATTTCTGACTAATCGTGACTAATAGATAGTAGAAACTTGATTTACATGTATGACATTCTTCTTCTCTTCATTCTTTTTTTTGGGTGTGCTTGAGTAGGAGCTTTGTGTAAATCTCGAAGAGGAAATCCGGAGAGAGCGAGTTTGTGCTCAGTTAGTTGAGCAGCACACTGTAGCACAGGATTGGCTGAGTGAGCAAGTCAAAGGTTTCGGTGCTCTGCCCACTGAACATCATGGGTTACAAAGCTCTATCAACACTCTTAAGGTCTGTTCTTTTCTTTGATGTGTGTGTGTATATATATATATATATATATATAAGAATTAATAGATTAGCACACTGTAGCACAGGATTGGCTGAGTGAGCAAGTCAAAGGTTTCGGTGCTCTGCCCACTGAACATCATGGGTTACAAAGCTCTATCAACACTCTTAAGGTCTGTTTGAATTCTTTGATGTGTGTGTGTATATATATATATATATATATATATATATATATATAAGATTTAATAGATTTTTCAGTTTTTTGGCAAATCTGTTAATAAATAAAATTATATATTTTTTATTATAATTTTGTAGGCTCTTCTTCAGACCATAGACAGGGAGAAGAGAGAAATGAAAGATCTGGTTGCCGTTAAAGATTCCCTGATGGATATTTGCACTCCAGGAGGTTGTAATGCCCTGACCGTAGAGGTCAGCCATCTTCATAACCTCTGTGAGTCCTCTGAGAAAGAGATGAGGGAACGGTTAGCTGTGTGTGAGGCCAGACTGAGTGATATTGACCTCAGGCTTGCTGGCAGAGCACAGATTCTCAGAGAGCAAGCAGAGAGTCTTCTGAATGAGCTGCGTGCTCAGGACCACTCTTTAGGATTTCTGGTGGGTAGCCAGAATGTCAGCCAGCTACAGGAGAACTGGCATAGCTTCAAGGTATTGTGGGAGAATATTAATTAATCCATGTTCAGTTGGTTTGTTCTGAAACTTTAGAGAAAGTCAATAAATTCAAACCTGACTATTTTTCTTTTTAATTATATTTCTCATAGACATTTGAGAGAGACCTTGAGTCTTTAGAGGGCAACGTTTGTGAGCTTGGCCAGGCCCTCCGAATGGTCCCACCAGAAGAGGAGCCCCCTAGTGATGTCCTTTCTATCGTGGACACAGTTACACAACAATATTGCCAGTACATACAGAAATGTTGCCTAACAAATTAAATAAAATATCAAGCTGTTCAAAGCAAAAATGTCTGTAATAATGAATTTGAATCTATTTAAATCTGAATCCTGTTTATTTAATTGTACAATTGATAGCATGTTTGCCCATTATAGTAAAATGTTGTATTATATTACAGCGTAATATTTATTTATCAGAAGTGCATTTTGGAGAATGATCATTATTGTTTTTTTCCTCAGTCTGCGGTCGAAACTGTCAGAAAAGCAGAATGACTGTGCAGACAGCACTGTGCAGTGTGTGAGACAGGCCTTACAAAACATACAGTCATGGAACCTGACACATGCAAATCCTCCCTGCAGCTCAGCCACATCCATGCAGGTGTGTTTGTGTCTTAATTTGCATACAGTATGTGAGTACACAACAAAACACTGCACCTGCACTAGACTGGTCCATTTGAACATGTAAGTTTGCTGTTACCATTTAAACACGCAACATTTTTACTCCTTAGGCTGCAATTGAGGAAGGTGTGAGACTGTGTAAAAGCCTGCAGGTGGCGCTGTCCCATAAAGAACTGTTGAGGGAATGTCTGGGCCCTGACTTGGCTGGCAAACTTGAAAGAGACGGAACGAAAGCATTAAACGAAGCAGACACTCACATGAATGACCTTAAACAGGAGCTCAAGGTGAGTATGGCTCAATTCTGTGGGATGATGCTTCACATGAAATGTGTAGTGGTTTAAACAGATGAGTCTGCATTTCAGAATCTGGAGGAGAAGGTGAAGCAGGAAGTTCAGCGGTTGTCACTGGAAACTCAAAGCATTCAGGTGGATTCGCAGGTGCAATTTCACAAATTTACATATTCATATACAGATATATTTCTAGACTTTTGTTGTATCTGGCTATTATGTGCAGTAATATGTACGTATATATGATAAATATAATTTGTAGGTTTCTGCTGTGACACCATCAGCAAAGGAGTCTGAACAGTCGGAATTTGTTTCTTCTTCATCGTTTATCATGGAGAGCTTTGAAATGACAGATGACAGTGAACAAGCTAAGGTACAGCCATCTGAATACCTTGACAGCAAGATCCCTCCATGTGTAATCTCAGAATCTTCAACTGAAACAGAAATTCACGCTGCAAGAAAATCACTACCAATATTAAAGATTGACACTGAACAGACTGAAGTCAAAACAACTGTTCCGTTAACCACAGAGATGCTACCTGAACCAGCAGCAAGAGTATATGAATCTGCTGTTCCTACAAGCAGCCATGGTGCAAATGAAACTAACAGGAGTTCTAGCCAGCACAAACAGACCTTTAGAAGCATCAGAACAATCTAAACCGGTTGAAGCAAACCAAAACCTACCAACAAGCGAAGTTGGAGAAGTCATGCACGTCAATATAGAAGAAGAGACAAAGAAGACCCCATCAGATGATAAAACACAGTTAATTGAAACTGATCCTAAACTTAAACCTCCAGTCAAGCAACAAAATGAGGTAGAAACTGAGGTCCAAACAAACAAAGTGCATGTCTCAATAACAGTAGAGGAAAAACCTGAAGGTGAAGAAGCCATTGGCGTCATTTTGGGAGAAGAGACAAAGACCCAAACAGGTGGTAAAGCACAATTCAAAGAAATTGAACCTAAACTGGCACCTCCAATCAAGCTCCTGATTGACTGGGACACTGAGGTACAACCCCAAAAAAGTAATGTCTCACTAACACCAGAAGAGAAACCTGAAGTTATTAAGGCCACAGATGTTATTGTAGAAGAAGAGATGGGCAAGACCCCATCAGGTGAAAAAGCACAATTCAAGGAATCTGAACCTAAAATAACTCCACCAGTCAGGCAAAGAAATGAGAGTAAAACTGACGCCCAGCCAAACAAGATAAATGTCTTAACACAAAAGGAGAAAGCTGAAGGTAAAAAGGCCATGGATATCATTGTAGAAGAGGAGACAAATACAACATCATCAGATGATAAAGCACAATCCATAGAGGCTGAACCTGAACTGACACCTTCAATCAAGCAAAGGAATGACCACAAAACTGATGTCCAGTCAGAAAAGGTGGATGTATCACCAGAGGAGAAAACTGAATGTGAAGAAGCATTGTATGTCATTAAGGAATGGAATGACTGGGACACTGAGTGTCAATCTGAAAGTATTAATGTCTCACTGACACCAGAGGAAAAACATGAAGTTGGAGCCACTGCAGATGTCATTGTAGAAGAAGAGACAAACAAGACCCCATCAGATGAAAAAGCACATTCTATAGAAGCTGAAACTAAACCAACACCACCAGTCAGGCAAAGAAACGAAAAGAAAATTGCTGTCCAATCAAACAAAGTGAATATTTCAACAACGTCAGAGAAGAAACCTGAAGGTGCAGAAGCTATCAGTGTCATTGTAGAAGACGAGATAAAGATGACTCTATCAGATGATAAAACACAATCCCTAGAAGGGGAACCTATACTGACACCACCAGTCAGGCAACAAAATGAAGGTGAAACCGATGTTCAATCAAACAAGGTAAGAATGTCAACAACATCAGAGAAGAAATCTGGGGACACCATGCATATCCCTGAGGAGGAAGTGACAAAAACGACATTGGTTAATAAAGGGGAATCCATAGAAGCTCAAGACCCCATCAGATGAAAAAGCACATTCTATAGAAGCTGAAACTAAACCAACACCACCAGTCAGGCAAAGAAACGAAAAGAAAATTGCTGTCCAATCAAACAAAGTGAATATTTCAACAACGTCAGAGAAGAAACCTGAAGGTGCAGAAGCTATCAGTGTCATTGTAGAAGATGAGATAAAGATGACTCTATCAGATGATAAAACACAATCCCTAGAAGGGGAACCTATACTGACACCACCAGTCAGGCAACAAAATGAAGGTGAAACCGATGTCCAATCAAACAAGGTAAGAATGTCAACAACATCAGAGAAGAAATCTGGGGACACCATGCATATCCCTGAGGAGGAAGTGACAAAAACGACATTGGTTAATAAAGGGGAATCCATAGAAGCTGAGCCTAAACCAACACCACCAGTCAGAAGACAAAATGAGGGTGAAACCGAGGTCCAGTTAGACAAGGTGGATGTCACACCAACACCTCCCACCAGACGATGTAAAGGTGATAGGTTATTTTTAAATATTGAATCACAGATAGAGGGAGAAGTTCTTCCCACCCCACCAAGCAGAAGACGTAGAGAGAAAATGGGAAGTGAGAGGTTTTCACTTGATTTAGAGTCCCAACCCACACCACCAGCAAGACGACGTAAAGAAAAAGAAGATAGTAGATTATCGCTTGATCTAGAGACCCAACCCACACCACCAGCAAGACGACGTAAAGAAAAAGAAGATGGTAGGTTATCGCTCGATCTGGAGACCCAACCCACACCACCAGCAAGACGACGTAAAGAAAAAGAAGATAGTAAATTATCACTCAATCTGGAGACCCAACCCACACCACCAGCAAGACGACGTAAAGAAAAAGAAGATGGTAGATTATCGCTCGATCTGGAGACCCAACCCACACCACCAGCAAGACAATGTAAAGAAAAAGAAGATAGTAGATTATCGCTCGATCTGGAGACCCAACCCACACCACCAGCAAGACGACGTAAAGAAAAAGAAGATAGAAGATTATCGCTCAATCTGGAGACCCAACCCACGCCACCAGCAAGACGACGTAAAGAAAAAGAAGATAGAAGATTATCGCTCGATCTGGAGACCCAACCCACACCACCAGCAAGACGACATAAAGAAAAAGAAGATAGAAGATTATCGCTCGATCTGGAGACCCAACCCACACCACCAGCAAGACGACATAAAGAAAAAGAAGATAGAAGATTATCGCTCGATCTGGAGACCCAACCCACACCACCAGCAAGACGACATAAAGAAAAAGAAGATAGAAGATTATCGCTCGATCTGGAGACCCAACCCACACCACCAGCAAGACGACATAAAGAAAAAGGTGAAGATAAAGGATTATCAGTTGATCTGGCGCCTCAACCAACTCCACCATCAGGAAGATGCGAGGATAAGCCAGAGAGTGACACATTATTTTACAGTGCTGAATTAGGAAAAAGTGATAATCAGCAAACTGTTGAACATAAACATGTGGAAGAGCACACTGTTAAACCAGCTCCACCTGTCAGATGCAAAATTAGTCGGGTAGAAAGGGATGTGGCAGTTTGCAAAAACCAAGAAGAGAAAGAGACCTTTGTGAAACCCACACCACCAACAAGAAGTAAAGATAGAGATGGTAGATTATCGCTCGATCTGGAGACCCAACCCACACCACCAGCAAGACGACATAAAGAAAAAGGTGAAGATAAAGGATTATCAGTTGATCTGGCGCCTCAACCAACTCCACCATCAGGAAGATGCGAGGATAAGCCAGAGAGTGACACATTATTTTACAGTGCTGAATTAGGAAAAAGTGATAATCAGCAAACTGTTGAACATAAACATGTGGAAGAGCACACTGTTAAACCAGCTCCACCTGTCAGACGCAAAATTAGTCGGGTAGAAAGTGATGTGGCAGTTTGCAAAAACCAAGAAGAGAAAGAGACCTTTGTGAAACCCACACCACCAACAAGAAGGAAAGATAGCAAAGTTGAAAAAGAAATCGTCACAGGTGCTTCTAATCTAAAAGAAGATATGAGCATATATAACCCAACTCCACCTCTGAGGCAAAAAGACAGCCGAGTGGAAACTGAGATGGTTTCAACCACTCCTGAAAGTCAACCTGAGGAAACCCTACCAACTCCACCAACCAGTCGAAAGAAAGATCAAATAGAAGCTGACGGAGCTCCATTAGCGCCAGAAGTGCCACAGGTCATACCAACTCCAAAAACCAGCGACAAAGAAAGTTCAGACAATGAAAATGTTTCTGTGTTTGTAAGACTGGAAGTGAAAGCTGATTTTGAAGCAATAACTAAACAGGAAGATAAAAAGGAGTATGATACAAAGTCATTGGTTGGTCAGGAGCATCAAGAGGAGGGGCAGGACTCCGATACCTTGGTCCCAGAACCCATAAGTGTAATCAATCAAACAGAGAACATCAGTGAGATGCAGGTAACTTTAATGTGCATGATTCCACCAAAAGGAACAAATCTGCATGCTGGACTGTAATGGAAGTCCTCAACTGAGGATGTCTCTATATTTGATTTGTAGAAATGAATCCCCTCTATCAAACAGAGAACATCAGTGAGATGCAGGTAACTTTAATGTGCATGATTCCACCAAAAGGAACAAATCTGCATGTTATCTGCATGCTGGACTGTAATGGAAGTCCTCAACTGAGGATCTCTCTATATTTGATTTGTAGAAATGAATCCCCTCTTTTTTTAACAGTCCAATTGTCTAAATTAGCAAGCAGAGCTATTGCATTAGGTTTTAACTCTGATGGAAAAAGCAATCTTCTAACAAAGTTTCAATTAACATCTGTAGCTCCTGAATAACCCACCTATATGTATCTATTTGTATTCAGCTCCATGCATGCAGTCATTACTGCCATCTATCAGTGAATAAATACTCTTTAATTCTTTAAAAATGGTCAGGCTTACAGAGAGGGCATACACATTTTTTTCTGTTCCATCACCTCTTCCTTATGGCACTGTAAATGTTGGGAATGGTTTTCTGATTTTTGTTGTTGATTGAGTTTGATTCAATGTACTTCATTAACTGCTTTAATATCTCAGTTATGTATCTACAGTATTTTATCCTGTATTTGAGATAATGCAGTTGCTAGTCTTCAGTTCAACAATTAGTTTAATCTGCTAATCTTTTATGTGTTGCAGCCACAAGATCAAGATGTGGATGTTTCTCCCCAAGTTGGTCTCATGCCTGAAAACACTGAGAGTCCACCAGAGGAAGAGGGGGAGCCAGAGGGACCCACAATGAAGGATATCTTCATGGAGATAAAAAAAATGACTGAAAAGGGACCAAAAAGTGTGCTCATGGAGGTAATATTTAAAAATGTTAACCACTATAACATTAAATTCTAAATACTGTTAGATTTTGCTGTATTTGGCTGAACAATCGTTTGGGTGGCTCGCCAATGTACTAGATTTCTCTAATACATAAAATAAGTAAGCTTGACCAAAGTTTTTGTGGGGAGAAAAATGTATTGAAGGCAGTGGTGTAGCAGTTCTTCAGCAGTGATGTTACCATGTTGTCCTTCAAAGAATCTTAACCCCAGGTAATGTCTGTGAGACCAGATATAAAAAAATGACTGAAAAGGGACCAAAAAGTGTGCTCATGGAGGTAATATTTAAAAATGTTAACCACTATAACATTAAATTCTAAATACTGTTAGATTTTGCTGTATTTGGCTGAACAATCGTTTGGGTGGCTCGCCAATGTACTAGATTTCTCTAATACATAAAATAAGTAAGCTTGACCAAAGTTTTTGTGGGGAGAAAAATGTATTGAAGGCAGTGGTGTAGCAGTTCTTCAGCAGTGATGTTACCATGTTGTCCTTCAAAGAATCTTAACCCCAGGTAATGTCTGTGAGACCAGATATTTATACCTGGTAACAAATGTGCTACAAACAATACAATAACACCCCATGGAGAGCCAATGAACCTCATGATGACCTGGTAGGACCTCTCTCATGGAGAGCTCATGATACACTGACCTATGGGCTAATTATATGGGTTATTTGGGTCACACTTTTGCAAACGGAGTTTCAGTTGATTGCATCTGAGGCACAATCACAATGTAAATGCATCTGCATTGAAGTACACATAATCTTTCAATACTGTGATTTAAACAGTGTCAAGACTTAAGTTTACAATAAACATAAACAAAAATTAAATGTGCATTATGTCAACTGTTCTTTCAAAAAGCTTTTTTTTTAGGGTATACCACATGAAAGTACCAAGAAACTTCTTGACACTTCCAGCACTGATCTTGAAGCTCGGTTAAAAAGGCTAGTGTTCCATTTACTGGACCTCCGAACTTGCCCAGCTGCTCTGAACTCCACAGACATGGCCAAACAACTAGAGGAGGCTGAGGTGGGACAATATTTAATATGTAAAAGTAGTGTTGCTGATTTTTGTTTTGTATTAGAATCCTGAGTTATGTTGGGAGGTGAGCTTATTTAGTACTTGTATTGTTATATTATTTTAGGAATGTAGAAGGTGTGCCCAGAGACAGGTATCTATGCTGTCTAGGCAAGACCAGGCTAATGGAGACATTGGCAGTGGCACTAATGGCACAGTTCATGACCCCGAGGGGATGCAACAGCTGAGTGCCCAGTGGAGTGCAGCTTTGTGGGATGCAGCAAGCTCGGTTCACTCCAAGGAAGCTCAACTACAGATGGTTGCAGATTTTGACAGACAGACCCAGAAAGTCAAAGCTATTCTGGAGAAACTCAAAATTGAGAGTGCTGCACTGAGATCGTACGTATTTACTATTAAGCTTGTTGTTTCTGTACTAATCACATTAAACACTGAGTAAGTTTATTGTTGCACTAAACCACTTATTAGAATATAAAGACCCATAAATGCATCTTTTATATCTCTAGCTCTCCAGCCGTGAGCAGTTTTGCCGAGGAGGAAAGGCTACGCTCTTTCTTGAGAAACATGGAGCAGGAAAGGACAGCTCTCGGTGAGTTAATTCAGACTCATGCAAAACTGTCCTCCCACCTCAGTGTGCCTCAGAGACAGGCAGCTGAAATACAGCAAAACAACTTGCAAAGCCAGTGGAGGGTGCTGGAGAAGGATGCAGAAATTGCTCTTTATAAGGTCAATGCTTATGCTAAAGAAAGGGGCAGCCTTATTCAAGATGTCAGTGCCTTAAAAGACCATACCGAGAATATTCAGAAGACCTTGGATGCATCAAAAACCGCAGTTTTATGGGATGGCAAGAAAGCTCAAGAAATTATGACTTTAAATGCTAATCTCACTTTCACCCATCAGCTGTACCTCTACCTTCAGCAGACCTCTGAGGCACTTGCCCAGGAATTCCAATTCAAGGCAGAGACATCCAGCATAGAGCAGGATCTTCAGCATATAAAAGATCAGCAGGATCAAATGGGCGAAACGTTAGCAGCTGCAACCCCTAGCAGCAGCAACCCAACATTAAGTAAAATTGTAAAGGTGATAACAGATGCTCTGGCTTGGGCCAAGCAGACAGAATGTGATGTCAAAGGACGACAGAAAAAGCTGTCTTTGCTTCCAGAAGAAGTCCATCGACAGATTAAAGATTTAAAGAAATCGCAGTCTGAGATGAGCTCCAAGCAAACCCAGTTGAAGGCTTTGGTTGAGGAAGTCACTGAGCTGATTTGTGACCTAGATGAGGCTGATGTTTCGATGGTGACCTCATCCTTGAATGTCCTAGAGAATTTGTCCAAATCAACAGCAGGAAAACTGGCTGAGGCAGTTCGCAAGATGGAGTCAGGTCTTCAGACCCGGGAGAAGATGTCAGAGCAGATAGCAGATATTGATTCCTGGGTGGCTGGACATCTGCAGAGGGAAGCTTTGAGAAGAGAGGATTATCAAAGTTTGAGTGTGGCAGACCTGGATCGCAGGTTGAGGCAGATCCAGGACACTCTTGGAGAGGCAGAAAAGCAGTCCGCTGTCACTGAAGCCCTTCTGATGAAAAGCAGAGACATTGCATCAGAGCTAAGTGTCTCAGAAAATACTCAACTCTATGAGAAACTCACCAGCCTTCAAGAGAACATCAAGAGAATTGTTCTCTATGAGAAAGCATGTTGCCAAAAAGTTATGGATGTCATACAGAGCCAAGAATCCTCTCAGAGGAAGGTATCATCTCTTGAGAACAGCCTGAGACAAATGTTAGCTGATGTAAAAAGACACAGGTTTCCTGTTACCAAGGATATCCTCTCTATTATTGAACCCTTCAAACAGATAATTGTGGAGCGCAAATCTCAGATTGAGCAAGTCGGTCTCTGTTCAGAGGACAAGAGAAGAGAGCTGTTATGTGTTATTACTGAACTGTACCACAAAATGATTGATTTGGATCTCAAATCACAAGCTCATGAAAGGTACTTGAGCTTCAGTCGGTGCATTGAAGATGTCAAGGAGGAAATGGAGGCTCAGATCCCAAGGACCAAAGATGAGAGCATCAACAAAGAGGAACGCTACAGAGCCTGTCAGGCCCTACTGATCCAAATCTCTTTAATAAAACTCTTGTTTGAGGAAACAGTGGATGAACTGCAGGAAATCGTAGCAGATCTATATCCGTCTCAGCTCTCTACTGAACAAGCAAGATTAAAACAAATCCTGGAAAGTCTCAAAACCTCAGAATTGGCAGTGAGCAATAATCTTCAGATATTGGAATGGGATCTGCTAAAACAAATTCATTATCCATCAGAAAAAAGAGTACTTAAGCAATTTCTCAAAGACACTAATGAGGAGTTGGAAAAGCCTTGTAGTATTGAACCAAAAGAGGCGGAGATTGAAAAACAACTAAGAACGTTCCTTGTACTCAGAAAGAATGTAGAATCTAGAATGCGAGTGCTTGAGTTTCTTGAAAAAAAGATTGGAGCTCACCCTCCACAGGACTCCAAACAGCTTACTTGCTTGAAGCATATGGTTTTGGAAAAGTGTGATCAACGAATGGTGAGTTTACTCTGTTTCATCTTTGACACAGTTTCATTGATCTGTTCCTTGGCAATATAGTTGGTGCAAATGTTTAGAAACATCATATGCAGAATCTTTGTTGAAAATATACATTTAAGCAGATAAAGTCAAGGAAGATTTCTGCTGTCTTTTCAGGTGAGCCTAACTAAAGCTAAAGAACTGTTGAATAATTACACCAAAGCAGTGATTGATACCATTCGGTTCCTCCAAAGAGCTGCATTGGTCCTCCTTCCCTCAGTCTGCTCTGCTAGAAGCTGCTCAGAAAGACTCAAAGACACACAGCACACTTTACTGACCCTAGACACAGAGATCCAATCACGTGTTTCACAGCTTCAAGCTCAAACCCCACAGCATCCCTGCTTCAAGCCACAGAAGATTGAATTTCTGCACACGCAGGTTCTAGGCGAGCTCCTGGTCAGGCTTTCAACCCTCAAGGCCCAGGCTCAAATTCATGTAGAATCTTTGAAGAGGTACATACAATAGTATGAAAGCTTATTATACTGTATAAGAACTTTTTCTGTCATCAAATTACAAATACCCCATGTTGAAATTAACCAAATTCTTGTCCATAACAAGGTGTGTTGAGTGGCAGAAACATTCTCGTAAATGCTACGAGGAGCTTTGCCAGCAAGTGAGAGACTTAGAAACATTGCTATCACAGTGTGCTTCCAAAAAAATTACTTCACACAAAGACTGCAAAGACCAGCAACAGAAACTCAAGGTAAAGTCAAATAAAACCCTTTCCTGTAGAAAGACTAGCATTTGTTAACATTAGTTCCCCTTATAACCTAAAGATCTTTATCATTTATCTCTGTTTTGCCAACTGATGCAATGAGATACATATGGTTTTGCTGGTAGGCTAGTACATTCAAGTATTTCTCATCTTTTTAGGCTCTAGTGGAAGAGGTTGCCATGCTTCCTGGAAAACTGGAGAATCTGAGAGAGTGGTGTTCACTGTATGGGTGCAGAGCCAACAGGGAGGATGCCGTGAGCGCAATCTGGGGTCAGGTGGCAAGATTGCAGCGCTGTGCCAATGATCTGCAGACACGCTCAGAACAATTGGAAGCAGAGTGGAGCAGTGTCACGAGGAGTGTAAGTGCCATGACCAAATCTGATAGTGGGTATTTTACCTTCTGTATATCAACATGCATGTGAAATAATAATGAAACTCGTTTCGGCATGCTTACTCTAAATAAAACATTACACTATGAAAGACTGTTGTGCAGATAAGAAAAACTGAGCTTGTTTCCCTTTGCTGTCATTCTGCAGGTGGAGCAGGCAGCCACTGTGTTGGAGCAAATGGATGCAGAACTTCCAGATAGCAGCAGAGAGAATCTGACTGGTGATGAGCTGCAGGAACTGCTGCTCTTCTGGTCCCAGTACCAGGACAGGCTGGACTGTGAACAAAGAGCTCTCTCCGCTTTGGAATTAAGAGCTGCAAGGTTGCTTGGCATTCCCCCGGACCTGGAACAGGCCCCGCCCATTGAGCTGTGCCAAGAGCTTCAAGCCTGGCAAGAACGTTACCATAGGTCAGGCATCTACTTAGCGTATTGCTAATTGCTTTTTTCAGTTTTCTTTTCCTTCTTCCTATTTTAAGGTTATCTTAAATTTTGGTTTTCTCGAAACATGATTGTCTTTTGCCTAATATTTCCTATTGTGGACTCCATGTCCCAGTGGTCCACATGTTAATTCCAAATCAGTGGGCTTACAGACTGAAGTAGGTCAGCATTGGATGCCAACGTCCCATCCCAGAGAGGCCAAATGAACACATACATACTTGAGACCATTAACCCGCGCACAGTCTCAGCTAAATATTTGGATTATATTTAATTTACACATATAAAAGTTTTATTTTATGCTGAATGAGAACATACTGATATATGGTTTCAGGGACGTATATCAGTTTTTTTTCTTCCTACCTTTTTAGCATCCATTTTGCAGTATAGACTTGGACTGAGAGTTCAACATGTCTTTTTTTAAACTTGTGTGTCCTGCAGTCTAAAGGAACGTAGCTCTCAGGGTCTGAGGGCAGTAAGAACAGAGGTGGAAGAGAGGGAACGAGTGCAGGAGCAGCTGGAAAGAGTCAGAGAATGGCTGGAATCTGCCGTCTCTCTCCTCGCTGTACTGGAGCACGAGCCCAGCAAGAAAGAACTACAGGTTAGTCACTTGTCTTGTGATTGTGCTTTGTTAAGCTGGTTTTTATCCACTTTAGATGTTTTTTTGTTTTTTTTACTTGAGTTAAAGAATTGCATTTTAACTTTGCACAAGCAAGATTTGTTATAGTTAATAATCAGAATCAGAATTAGCTTTATTCGCCAGGTGTGCGCAAACACACTAGGAATTTGTGTTTTTTCGTTTTTTTTACCAGGTGCTCCTGGTACATACATACATGCATACAAACATACATACACATCTGACATGAGAACAGAAAAAAACATTTAAATAGTAAGACTTAACAAAAAATAATGTGTATGAATCTGGAACAGTAGATTTATGTACAGATTTGTGCATTTGTACTCTATATAGAACTGTATAAATAAGAGATATCCATATGTATTTACATAATACTTGAGAAAAAGGCAATAATTAAAGATGTAGAATGAATTACGGAAATGAATTACAGAACACGGGTAATGATTCATGTGTTGGCTGTTTAAGCTGGAGATGGCATTGGGGGAAAAAATGTTTTTATGTCTAGATGTTCTAGTGCGCAGAGATCTGTAGCGTCTGCCTGAAGGGAGAAGTGCAAACAGGTTGTGCCCGGGGTGAGAGGGGTCTTTGATGATATTACCTGCCCGTTTCTTCACTCTGGAGTTGTACAAGTCCTGAAGACTGGGCAGGTGCACACCAATGATTCTTTCTGCTGTCCTAACAGTCAGTTGCAGTCTTCTTAAATCTGATTTGCTGGCTGACCCAAACCAGACAGTTATAGAAGAGCACAGAACCGACTCAATAATAGCTGAGTAAAACTGTGTCATCTGTGCCTGTGGCAGGTTGAACTTTGTCAGCTGACGAAGGAAGTACAACCTCTGCTGAGTCAATGTGAATGTCCCACCTCAGGTCTGAGCTTGACAGAGGGGTCAGTAGAGGTGCAGTCATTTGTGTAGAGAGAGAAGAGAAGTGGGGAGAGGACGCAGCCCTGGGGAGCTCCGGTGCTGATGGTGCGAGTGTTGAATGTGAGTTTTCCCATCCTCACTAGCTCCTCAACTGAAATTATATTTCACTAATATTTTAAGACATTTTGCAAATTAATAAAACTGCATAGACACTGACAGATTAATTAATGTGGCAGTGTTTATGTCTGAGCATCAGAGATACTGTGGCTACTGGCATACAATGCTGTTTAGTGTTAGGTTTTATTGTTCAGTATTGGTTGTCTCAATCAGGCTCTTCTGAGAGACAAGTAATTTGTAGAAATGGAAACCAATCAACAAAATATCCTGTTTTAAACTTACCATGACTGTCGCTGGTTAAGACAAGCTTTTATTTGCTTGCGCTTTGTCTAGTTAGAACACTGTGTGAGGGAGAGAGTGACTGTTTGTTGCGCTGAATAGGCTGTTCCATCCAATCAGTTCAAACACACATACTCTTAAAGATTCAAAGACTTTTAAACAGTTATTCTCTCAAACACACACACTGCAGTAGATTCTGTTTTTCTCTCTCATTACCTCTTTGCCACACACACACACACACACACACAGAAGAGAGGGCACTGTGTTAGTGTTCTGATTGAATTGCTGAGTCATGTCCAACATTCCCACACAATTTCTTTTCACTGTTTCAGATACACACACACTTTCTCTCTTTTTCTCATTCACTCTCACATGGCCCAGATCTTTGTATTAGGCTTAAAGTGCTTTATCATTTTCATGTCAAATAATACTCTACATGTGTATGTGTGTGTTTTAGATGGTTCTGGATGATTCTGCTCAGATGAGACGTGCTCTGCAGGGTTTCGGCAGTGTGCTGACAGAGATGGGAAGTGTTTTTGATGTCAGTCCATTAGAGGAGCAGCTCTCAAATGCTGATCGACGTGTGGCAGACATGCAGCACAGCCTACTGGGACCTCTCTCTCAGCTGGAGCATGCAGCAGCAGTGAGCACACTGACATCTAATAAAATAAATGAGGATATACCAACAACTTCTTACATACACATACACACTTAAATATACATAATTATATATTCGATTAATTAAATAATTAACATCAATTAATTAGTTTGTTTATGACTAATTTTCCAAATGAGGATGCACATCTGTATTATCTATAAAAGGGAATTTTATTTTATTTTATTTTAAGAATTTCATGAATCTGTGAATTTCATCTGTTTATGTGTGTGCGCGTTTTTAAGGAAGTGGATGCGATCGAGTCAGAGGTGAAGGTCATGGAGAAAGATGTGGCCAAAATCAAATCTACTTTGACCACCAAAGAAGACATCAGTCGGGACTGTCTAAAGGTGAAAGAAAATTTTGCCTTGTATTTAAACATTTAACCAGGCATGGAAATGACTAAAATTATGTAGTTACTAGCACCTGATTCCTGTGGGTGTTTCATGTGTAGTTAACAGAAGACAGGATTGACCTGATGAAAAGGACAGTTGCTGAGATTCAGAACTGTAAGGATGGTCTGTGTCTACCTGACAAAGCTGAAAACACACTCCTAGTGTTCAAAAAAGCAGAACTACTACAGAAACAACTTCTGGAACTTGAACAGGTAGACATATGCAGTATATGCACACAAAAGTATACAAACACAGTTTACACAATGCTCAGTATTATATTTGTCTCCTCTCAGTTTGATTAGATGATGTTATTCCTCATCCCCTAGGGGGCAGTATGACTCCATTCTTTCATTGAGTCTGCATTTATTATTTTTCAGATACTCCTTGTACTTGAGAATCACAAGTGCTGTGATCTCCATTTGCAAATGTGGCATGTGATGAATAATTTTGAACATTATGCAAATCTAACTTTTATTTTGGTCTAAAATGTAATTAGTATATTTATAGAGTTTAGCTTAAATCTGTTTTATTAAAAATGTAACAATTGATGTGCCTTTGCTAAACCATGAGTTACATGCATATACAATCCCATGATTCTGTCATGCATAAGAGGTTTTCATAGGCACAATGTAGAGAACTCTTATCCATGGATAAATCAGTATAATGCACAACATATGGAGCTTTATAAATTTATGTAGCAAACTCTTCAGTTTGATACTAGACTTAATCTGTCTTGGGTAACCAATCATATGATAGACATTAATGTTTTTTTTGTGTGTGTGCAGGACTCTGTTTCTGCTGACGTGGTTTCTTCTACAGAACAGATTTTGGAGAAAGCAGAAGCAACAAACTCAAAGGTAACACTAGACCTCTATAGTAATGGCCGTTCTTAATTTGATCACATTAATGTGTATGTGTAATATATTCAGGAGCTGCCTTGCAAGCTCTGAAAAAAAATCTAATTTGTGTTCTTTAAAAAGTGTAAAGTGGCCACTTAAAACGATTTTTAACTTTTTGTAGTCTTTTGGAACTGTGGCCAGATATCATATCAGAGTATGTAAGCTCTTTTTCCCTGTGTTTGCAGGTAGAAGCAGATACATCTGTGGCCTCGGGAGCAGGTGTATCAGAAGCTTTATCTGAAACGGATGCCTCAGTGGAAAGCCAGTCTCTCCCTGCAGACATGGTAACCAATACCTCCTCTGTTACAGAGGTCTCCACGTCCCCTTCCAGAGGCCAGCAGAGGTGTTTGGTCTCCTAGTTGTAGTTCTCTCCTTACAGAACCTCCATGTCTTAACTCCTACCTCTACCACCCCTAGATGTAGATGTTTCTAGAGCTAGAACTCTATTCCCAGTGCATTTACATGGCAGATGTGTAAAAAATAAAGAATTCTGAGGAGAGAATCTCTTCAAATAGTTCAGAATTTAGTTCACAATAACGAAACAAGGGTAAAATTAAGCTAAATATTTTTATATAAATCAAACAAATCAATGTTTAAAAAGGGCTTAAAGCGACTTCTTGAGGAGTTTATTATTTTTTCAAATATTTTTTATGATGTTGATTAATTCTGTCAGGATATTCTGCAGATCAAGAGAAAACATTATACCAAATGTTCCATATGGTGAAAATGTACCATAATTCCAAAGAGCATTTTGAACTTTTGTCTATTTCCATAATATCAATGTTTACATGTTATACCGTGTCTATACTGGACATGTGCGGTGTTGCAAAAACTGGATCCTATTATAATCAACTGTATTATAAAGGTGTTTTCACACTTAGCCTTGCTCAACTGAATTTTGCCAAGAATCTATTCTGCCAGCTAGCAAACAAACCAACCCTAAATAACTGATTTCTAAACAGATGTTTTATTCATGTATTTATAATATTGAGGTATAGTGTTATAGAAAAATGGCTGAATAGACACTGACAGAATGAGCACCTTGTTGTGGATCTTTTTGCTCTTTGGCAATGATATAAATCTCTGCCCACACAGAAGTCACTGCCAAACCTTGCTATTGGTCAGTGCTACGAATTGTCAAAGTTCACCAAATCTGAACCCAACATAAATTTCAACTTTGTGAATAGGGGAATAATATTTCGCCACCAGAAGTCCATCCGGCAAAGTTCATTGTGATGAATTCAGTAGAAAGTTCACCCACAAAATTTCTCAGAGCAACGATAAATATGACCGCACCTTAACATTTCAAAACCACAATTTTTTTTTATACGCTGCACAGTAAGACCCGCCAGTTTCCTATAGATATAAAATTATTTTATTTACAAATTTCATTGTGTACTACCAGCCAAAAATTTGGACACCTACTTTTCATTACCTTTTCATTATTACTATTTTCAGCATTTAATTGTAATTATTGCATTAAATGTCTTGATTTTTGTTAAGCAGTAAAATCAGTGTATTTTTCCATTGCATGGTATCTTTTCATTGACGTTTAACTACTAAATACAATACTATAATACCAAAAAGATCCTAAAATCTTTTATATGGCATGTATTTATTTTGTTTTTTGTATAGCTTTACATTTTTTTTACATTTTTTACATACAGCTAACATTTTTTTGAGTTTCCTTTTATCTAAATGCAAGATAAGATGGTTACTCTGAAAGGATTGTTGAACAGATTTTGTTTCATGGAGTGAAACAAATGTAATGTGAACATTAAAAGTCAGTTAATCAATGGCTGCTCTCTCTGCACAGTTATGTCTAAATGCATGTGTATTATGATTCATTTGTTTTTCAAGAATGATTGTGTTTACATGACACACTCTCTAAAAGTAAGCCTTTTCCTTCTCAAGAATATTAGGAGAATAGCAGGATATGGTTTATTTATGTTTAGTATTTAGTCTTTTTGTGCCATGTAAACGCACTGACTCTTATACACACTTGTGCATGTTCTCCTGATCTCTCCCTCTGATACCTCCTGTGTGATTACCATCATGCTCCTTTCAAGTCTGAAAAAAAAATAAATTCCAACAAAACAATTCACACTTGCTCGTCTCTCTCTTTCTCTGTCTGTGTCAGGAGCAGGGTGCATGGAGGGGGGAACAGACGCCACACACCAATGACACACTCACACACATGACACTCGTAGACAACACAAAGAAACATTCAGAGTCACAAGCCCCACCCACAGAAACAGAGGACATGTTGACCTCACCTAATGCCATGACCTCTGATGAAGGGCTGGGTGATCAGAGCCTGAGCTCCACAAACACACTATCAGACAAACCACCTGAGAAACATTTAAACACTTTGACACACACTACTCCATCAAATGCAGAAGACCATAGGTTAGAGAGCAGAAGCACACACGACACACACACACCAATTACAGTCAAACCCTGCCTGGAGAGGACAGAGCCACTGGCTGCAAGTGCATCTTTGGTAAGCACAGATGCTGATAGTGAATCTCCCCCCACTGACTCACACTTGACACAATTACTCACATAAATCTGAGTGTGTGTTGCATTTTATCTGCACATTTCTCTTTGCTCACCAAAACAAGAAATTAATTATTTCTTTCTTTGTCTTACACTAGAATAGCCTATTCAGTGCTATTCTTGCAGTCTGAGATCTCAAAGATTGGATTCAGTAACAGGAATTTACCTTTGCAACTAGGTGATTCCTTAAAAATAATCTTTCATTAATCATTAATGATTATTAATAATTAACAGCTTGACATGTACTATTATTAACATTATTATTACTGTGTGTTAAACAAACTGCGCAGAGTCAGGAATCCACCAATATGCAGAAAATATTTAATGGGATCAATTTATGTATTTTTCTGCTAATGTCCACTTATGTTAATCTTTTTTTTCATCCAAAAAAGTCTTAGTTTATGTATGATTGTTTTGCTCTCTGATTGTTACAACTGAGCAGGCCATTTTTTGCTGCTATGTGTTTAATACTACTATGTAAATATACCCTCTTTGCATATGAAATGAGCTATTAGTCATTAGTCCTTCTGGTATTTTACAGTAGAAATCCTACTTCCTCATAAGCTTACTCTATGAACACAGACAAGACGTAGTTGATGTAAATACGGGCAGTCGAGTGTTAAAATATGTCTGTCTGACGTCAAAAAGTGAGTCATCTTGCATATTAGTTTAAATAAAAAGTCTCTGTGGACTGGGAAGGAAGTTTGGATTTCTGAAAGTATGTTTTCAGAGTTCAAAGAAAAGAGTTTGTTAAAATATGACCCACGACCATAACCACCAAAGACACTGAAGGGGACACGTTCCCAACAATATTCAGGTTTGCGGTTCATCAATATAGGTTTTTCCAATGATTGGTTCTTAAATTATTATATTAGGTCCCTACTAATAATCTATGTGGCTATATTTCTGATATATGGAAGTAAAATCTATGAATTGCAGTAATACCAATAAGTTTAACAAGATATTCTGTGACATCTAAGAGGGACAAAAGCAGGGTTAGAAAGAAATAAAGTGTAATGGAATAGAATAAAGGATGAAAAATAATTTAGGCTATTTGAGTCAGTTCAAGGCAAAAGTATAGTTCCTCCTTTATATGTGTGTGAGTGTGTTCCTTGTCACACAAGCTGCCCTAGAAAGTGACGACATTCCAGGAAGTAGTTGTAGCCGCAGGTGGGTGGAGTAAGGGACAGACAGAGAAAAAGGGAAGCTACATGACAAGTGACTAATATGAAAGCTGAGACAGTTTATTGAGATAAAGACTACACCAGGGGGCAGAGAAACAAACATAAGGGTTAAACATGTGTGAGACAGAAACTGAGAGAGAGAGAAAGAAAGCAGAGTGTGTGAAAATTTGTTTGTCTCTGGGTCAGAGGACACACCCAGTGTGTGTTTGTGCTGCTGTGAACTCACTGTTTGTGCTGTAGTCAACCAGACCAGGTGTGCTCTCTCTCTCTCTCTCTCTCAGTACACCTGTCTTCTTCTATTATCCATCTATTATCGTGATTTTCTTTTCTCTCTTCATGTTCTGGCTCTGAGCTGCTGTTGTGTATGATTGTCCAGGCCGTAGGTGAAGCCGGGGGCTCAGGTGGACAGTTATCCAGTGAGGTGCTGCTCTATGCCTGCCGTGAGAGGGCCGAGCAGCTGGAGGTGTGTCTGGAGAGAGCACAGGTCAGCCTAGAGAGGTCGAGACAGCAAGCACAGGACGCAGCCATGCAGCACTGCATTGAACAACAGCTTCACAACTGCCAGGTGATCATACACACACATATACCTGCATTTCAAAGGTCAAGGAAATATTTTAATATTTTATTTATCTCTGCACATGATAAAATGTATATTGAGGTTATTATAGTTAACTAAAACCATTTGGAAAAAAAAAAAAGTTAACTGCAATAAAATAAAATATAAAAACTTCAACCAAGGCAACATTCCTCTAAATTCATTTACTAAATTAGTGTACTAAAATGACTAAAACTGAAATAAAAATTACTAAAAACGATTCTGACGTATTGACATAAAGGAATTCTCTCTCTCTCTCTCAGTACACCTGTCTTCTTCTATTATCCATCTATTATCGTGATTTTCTTTTCTCTCTTCATGTTCTGGCTCTGAGCTGCTGTTGTGTATGATTGTCCAGGCCGTAGGTGAAGCCGGGGGCTCAGGTGGACAGTTATCCAGTGAGGTGCTGCTCAATGCCTGCCGTGAGAGGGCCGAGCAGCTGGAGGTGTGTCTGGAGAGAGCACAGGTCAGCCTAGAGAGGTCGAGACAGCAAGCACAGGACGCAGCCATGCAGCACTGCATTGAACAACAGCTTCACAACTGCCAGGTGATCATACACACACATATACCTGCATTTCAAAGGTCAAGGAAATGTTTTAATATTTTATTTATCTCTGCACATGATAAAATGTATATTGAGGTTATTATAGTTAACTAAAACCATTTGGAAAAAAAAAAAAGTTAACTGCAATAAAATAAAATATAAAAACTTCAACCAAGGCAACATTCCTCTAAATTCATTTACTAAATTAGTGTACTAAAATGACTAAAACTGAAATAAAAATTACTAAAAACGATTCTGACGTATTGACATAAAGGAATGACAAAACACACACACATATTCTCTGCCTACTGTTGTTGCTGATGCTGACTCAACAGGACAGGAAGTGCTCAGAGCTGAGATCTGTCACGCATTGAGCCTGTTTATATATTTGGCTCTGTTAAATATAAAGTTGCCTCTAAACCTGCCATAAGTATTATAGACCAATCTGACACTATCTGACACGCACTTTGAATTACCATTGTGTATGAAATGTGCTATACAAATAAACTTGCCTTGCCTATCATACTCATACTATCTTCTTCTAATGTTTCTGTCTGTAAAAGTAGAACTGTTCAGTTCTTTAAAACTTTAGAAGACTTCATTATCAATTTCTGTAGAAATCAGTTCTCTCCTATATAATCAAGTCTTTCACTTTTTCTTGGTGCCTTGCTCTTTCAGTGTCTGTCTTGTTCTGCAGTGTTTTACAACTGTGAACTCTTTTACTGCTCAGAGATCAAAGTGTGTTTGCCGATGACAGTAATCACAGGTCACAAGCTCAGATCTCATGATGTATATTTAAACACAATGGAGTCATTTTTTTATGATTGGTAGACTCTCAATTTATTTTAACTAGAATTTTGGTTAGACTGAAAATTTATTATTTGTTTAGAATAATAGTTGCAGTGTACAAAAATACTTATCGGGAGCAGATTAGATTAGGTTAGATTGGTTTCGGTGACTATGGAAACAAAATAATTATTTTATTTTGTTTTCATAGTCACTGGTATAAATACCTTTTTTACCAGATTTGAATCAATAGGTACACATGTCAAATGTAATGAAATAATAGATACTGTGGCTCCATCATCATCAGACAGAATTTTTATTGAAGTTGAGGATGTTAGAAAAACATTTCAGTCTATAAATACGAAAAAATCTGTTGGTCCAGATGGATGTAGTGCAGGTCTTTTAAAGAATTTTGCACATGAATTGGCTCCGGTGTGGCAATCAGTATTTCAAGCTTCAGTTGACACACATACTGTCCCTGTGTTATGGAAGACAGCATATATAAAACCATTACCTAAAATTCCATGTCCAAGAGAACATAAAGATTTCAGACCAATAGCCCTTACCTCAGTAATTGTGAAATGTCTTGAAAGATTGTTACTTCAGCACTTAGTTAGGATGGTTAAAGATAGACTGGATCCTTGGCAGTTTGCCTATAAAAAAGGTTGTAGTACAGAAGATGCAGTTGCTGCTTTGGTGCGTGTCATTTCTAAACATTTAGATAAATCTAATACAACTATAAGAACTTTGTTTTTAGATTTTTCTTCTGCATTTAATACCATAAAGGTTGACAAATTGATGTCAAAACTTGTACAGTTGGGTGTAAATCTGTATTTGATTCGTTGGTATATCTCATTTCTCACTAATAGAGTTCAGAGAGTTAAAGTGAATAAAACTGTGTCATCCGCTATCATAACAAATGTTGGACTACCCCAGGGTTGCGTCAGTTCTGCCATCCTTTTCACCTTGTATACAGATGCCTGTCGAACTGACATGTTAAATCAGTATATTTTAAAGTATTCTGATGACACTGTTTTAATACCTGTGTTGAATGACGTGGACAGTCCTGGGTTTCATCAACAGGGTGTGACTAAATTAGAAGATTGGTGTGAGAATAATGATCTTGTTATTAATATAAGTAAAACAGAAGAGATTATATTTGGGTTTACATCTGATACTTGTATAACGCCTGTTTTTATTCATAATGGAAAAATCAGACAGGTTAAAACATACAAGTATTTAGGAGTGATGATTGACGATATGTTATCATGGAAAGATCATACTGACGCTCTCTGTAAAAGAACAAAGCAGAGAATCTACTTTCTTCGTCGTCTTAGGTCATTCGGAGTAAGAAAGCTGATTCTTCTGTTGTTCTTTATGTCTGTGATAATGATTGTACTGCAATACTGCAACTCCATTTGGTATAGGAGTTTGTCTGTTATGCTAAAAACAAAGCTGTTCAATCAATTAAAAATTTGCTCAAGGATTGTAGGTCAGCCCCTTGAGAAGCTCTATGATTCAGCTTATTATAATAATTTGTTAGGACTGGCTAACAAGATAGTTTCGGATCCTTATCATGTTCTGCATAATGAGTTTGAATTATTACCATCAAACCGGAGGTACAGAGTCCCAAGATTCAACAAAGTTAGGCTGAAACACTCTTTTGTGCATCATGCGATCCTGGAGCTGAATAAGACACTTAATCAAAAATCAAGAGTAATGTGAACATGGTGTAGTTGTAGAAGTGTAGTAGGAGGGTAAGGCATAATGTAATATTTAAGGGAGTGTAATGTATATTGTGTTTTGTTTGTGTGTGTATGAAGTGCATGTTGTTGTTTAAAGGATGTTGATTGTTGTAAACACAGATACTGTCATGCAAGAAAAATTTCAGACTCGTCTGACAAAGTGTTATATCATATCATCATATCATATATCATATCATTTTATTGTCTTATTTGATGATGGATAACTGCTTTTGCTCTTAATGCTACAGTACATCACTGCAGTTAAATCTTAGCGCTTAAATACTTACAGTTACATGCTTATATTTGTGTGTTTATAAGCATTAGGAATGTAAATGCACAGTAAGTGAGTGAGTGGGACAGTATATCATGGCTCAATGAACCAAATAACATGAGTCTGTTATTTACTTTTCGGGTGGAGTGAAGACATCAATGTCTGCTTCTTTCTTTCCTTTCTCTCTCTCTCGACCTATTTTATTATAAATAGACTTTATCTATTTTATGCATACCCACACAGCACTTTATTTCAGATGTATGAATGTGTCAATGCATCATGAATTTCAACTTAAGGAAACTCTCTATGCAGTGTTCTGCATAATGAGTTTGAATTATTACCATCAAACCGGAGGTACAGAGTCCCAAGATTCAACAAAGTTAGGCTGAAACACTCTTTTGTGCATCATGCGATCCTGGAGCTGAATAAGACACTTAATCAAAAATCAAGAGTAATGTGAACATGGTGTAGTTGTAGAAGTGTAGTAGGAGGGTAAGGCATAATGTAATATTTAAGGGAGTGTAATGTATATTGTGTTTTGTTTGTGTGTGTATGAAGTGCATGTTGTTGTTTAAAGGATGTTGATTGTTGTAAACACAGATACTGTCATGCAAGAAAAATTTCAGACTCGTCTGACAAAGTGTTATATCATATCATCATATCATATATCATATCATTTTATTGTCTTATTTGATGATGGATAACTGCTTTTGCTCTTAATGCTACAGTACATCACTGCAGTTAAATCTTAGCGCTTAAATACTTACAGTTACATGCTTATATTTGTGTGTTTATAAGCATTAGGAATGTAAATGCACAGTAAGTGAGTGAGTGGGACAGTATATCATGGCTCAATGAACCAAATAACATGAGTCTGTTATTTACTTTTCGGGTGGAGTGAAGACATATCAATGTCTGCTTCTTTCTTTCCTTTCTCTCTCTCTCGACCTATTTTATTATAAATAGACTTGATCTATTTTATGCATACCCACACAGCACTTTATTTCAGATGCATGAATGTGTCAATGCATCATGAATTTCAACTTAAGGAAACTCTCTATGCAGATATTTCAGTTATTGAGTGCTTACATTCATTCAGATTAAAGTTATTTGACGAGAGAGATAGCTGGCGATAAATCTTGCTTATCTGTCAAGTCCTGATGCAATATTTTTTTTTCTACCAGTTCCTTATAAGTTTTCCTTTTAAATGAAGTAATTTAGCCTGTCAAATCTTTTTCAGTGTGTCTTAAAAACTAAAACTTATACAGATGTTTATGCTCCGCTCGTTTATAGAGTTTGCCATTGAACTTTCAGTCTCGTTGTGCTGTTTGGAGGTGGTCATGTGTCTCAGTAATGCAGTTAGAGCTAATATTAATGTGACATTAGCAAGGTTTGCTAGCTTCTACCAGACTAAAGGTGTGGTCATGCTAGACTTTGGACATGCAAATTTACTTTCTATCTTACAAGAAATGGGCAACAGGATATGATGTGCACCATTTATTCTTTATATTTAGACATTTGACGTCATTTTAAAGTGGTTGAACCAAATATGCAGTACACTTACTTGTGTGTGTGTGTGTGTGTGTGTGTAACCCGACTCCTTCATCAAAGATTCAGAGATTCAGCTGAGTCTCAGCACAGTGACCTGGTAAACTGTTTTAACTACCACTTGAACACATTAACAGCCATGGTATGCAGGAATCAATTAGCCTGTAGAAAAATATATCTGATCATTTGTATACATTTGATTCTGGTCAAGAACGTGTTAAAGGGATAGTTCACCCAAAAATTCACCCATTTTCTCAACCTCATGTCGTTTAAAACCTATGGAAGTTGGTTTCCACCAAGGAATTAAAAATATATAAAAAGTAATTGTGTCACAATTCAGACTTTTTTCTCCAAATTCTCCGAAAAATAATCAGAATTGCGAGATATAAACTCAAAATTGCGAAGTGTAAACTGCAAACTCAGAATTCAGGGGGAAAAGTCAGAATTGTAAACTTGGAATTGCGAGTAATAAAGTTCATATCGTAATTCTGCCTTTTTTTCTCAGAATTGCGAGCTTATATATACAAAATTGCGTTGAAAAAAAGTTTGATTTGTGACATATAAACTCATAATTACAAGAAAAAAGACTGAAGTCACAATTACCTTTTTAATTTTTTTATTCCGTGATGTAAACAGGCTTCCATAATAGCCTGCATAACTTACTTTCTTCTGTGGAACACAAAATAAGATATTTTGAAGAATGTTGGTACCAAACAGTTTTGATGACCATTGGCTTCTTTTCCTAAGACACAAAAACACTGAGACACATATTCTCAAAATATATTTTCTATGACAAATTATGTGCTCTATGTGCTCAGTGTTTGCTGCAGGATGTACAGGTGGACAGACACTGATCGATCCCAATCTAAAGTCTGTGTGTTGGATTATTAATGAGAGTTTTGTTCATATTTATTTTTCTAAGAGCAAGCGTTGTGTAAAATGTGTCAAATGGTGCATTAAACACCTGTCACCTGCCTCTGAGCCCTGCTAGTTCATTCTCTAAGGTGGACTCTGATCTTTGTGGTGTTTATTACTTTTGATTGATTGTATTTTCTCTATTGTGAACCTCAGCCTTAATAGGTGTTTTTTGTAACTTATTGTTGTCAGTATGAGTGTATTGGTTGTGTTAAGAGTGATTTAGAATTTAGTTTGAGTGTGTGTTGATTTGAAAATGTATTGTTTTGCATCCATCTAGACAATCCTGGTGGAAATTGAAGGGAAGATCTCCAGTCTTCCTGTGTGTGGATTAAAGGAACAGGAGCGACATGAGGCGGAATCGCTCAACACCAAACTCCAGCTGCTGAAGAACAGACTGGTTACGGTCCAATTACAGCTGCAAGAGAGACACGGCGAAGATCAGGTACACACACATCTACTAATATAACCTATTTAGTCTGATACCAATTAAAAAATGCATTTTTTTTATGCTGGGGACAGCGTAACTCAGGTGTAATGAGGAACTTAATGAACAGATAGCATGTGATGACAGAAAGTGATCATTAGCATGCTAATTGCGGCTGATTTTCACATTTGCCAATTCTGTGTTATTTTCTGTCTCTGTGTGTCTGCAGGTGCATGATGAGCGTCAGCGGGCCAGGATGATACGCAGCAGCAGTGTCCAGGAAATGTTGAGTTCTTCCAAAACCAAACTGTTCAGACAGAGCAGCCTTCAACAACAAAGGGTAACACATACATTTATTCACACACTTTAAAATAATTGTTTTTCAAACACCTTTTTTGAAAAATTTGTCTCTCCAGGGTTTTTTTTTTACTAGCCTTTAGTGGGATTAGATTTTTTTCTTGCCCTGACAATATTTCCACTTACTCTACCATTAATGCAGATTTTATTTTGGGTGGTTGGTAAGGTTTGTTTAATGGCTGCTTGTATTTGATAAAAAATACAGTTAAAATTCAGCTAAAACTGTAATATTGTGAAATATTTTTACAATTTAAAATAGTTTTTTTATTTTAATATATTTAAAAATGTAATTTATTCTTTTGTTGGCAAATCAAAGCTGAATTTTCAGCAGCCATTACTCCAGTCTTCAGTGTCACATAAGAAATCATTCTAATATGCTGATTTGGTGCCCAAGAACTCATTTATTCTAATTATAAAAGGTCTGCTTAATATTTTGAGGAAACCGTTATACATTAAGGTTTTTTGATAAATAGAAAGTACAAAAGAGCAGCATTTATTTGAAATAGAAATCTTTTGTAACATTATACTGACACTTTTGATCTGTTTAATGCATCCTTGCTGAATAAAAGTATTAATTCCTTTTCAAATAAGTCCTACTGAACCCCAAACTTTTGAAGTAGTGTATATTTTTGATTTCACATTTCAAGTTCAAATTAAATTAAATTAATTAAATTAAAATAATAATAATAATAATGTCCTAGGTTTTTAATTAGCAAAAAAAAGAGGATATTATAAAGGTACTATGTAACTCCATGACAGCTATATTTTCATACACTTCTGCTGGAAAATTAGGCCTAAATTACAAAGCACTACTGATTTTTAACCTATTCTAATGCTTCTAAGACTATAACATGTCATATTGGTCCATCATTATCATTGCTCTCTCACGATCTTTTTTTCTCTGTTTAAGGAACTGGAGCATGGTTTGAATGAACAGAGGGATCTAACTAAAGCTATCGCAATTCAAGGCAGCAGAGCTCAAGCACACAGCCAGAGTGCAGAAGAACATGCAGGGTATCTAAATACACACCCCTATTAGTACAAATATATGCTTACACTTTGTAACCATATAACACTCCCTGATTGTCTGCAGCCCCTCGCCAGCAAAAGAGAATGAAGACAAGAGACAGGAAGTAGAGTTATCAGTCCACAGGAAGTGGACACACCTCTGCAGCAGATTGGTCAAGACAGCAGAGACCGAGCAAGATCAAGATGGAGATAAAGATCAGGATCCATCTGAGGTCTGAACACTTCAGATTCTTTTTATTTTTTCAAATGTTTATTTGAAGGTTCTACCCCTAGTGTTTAATGTGTAGTTATTTTAATGTGTTAGTTATTTATATTTAAGCAATATAACGTATTTGTGTGTGTGAACAGATCCTCGCTCCATCTGTCTGTTTGTGGAGTGGAGCTGCTGTTTCTCTCTGTCTGCAGGAGATTCAATCCAACATCTCACAACTTAAAGAACTGCAGAAGTCAGCAGATACTCAGGTGTCAATAACAAACACACATACCACACAGGGTTACTGTTTATAACACTTTAAACAGATAGAATAACTCTCTCTTCAAGATCAGAGTACACACTCTCAATATTGTCCAACCCGGATATAACAGAATTATATTTAACTGATCTGTCTGTGTGTCTGTGTGCAGGATCATCAGTCTCTGGATGAAGGTCTGTTTGAGGTGTTGAGTGGAGTGGATCTCAATCTCAGCTCTCTCACACAGACTCTCATGTATCAACCAGCAACCTCAAACACTGACATACTAAACCAACTCCAACAGCTACAGGTCATTGGTCTGTCTGTCTGTCCATCAATCCATCAGACCATCTGTCTGTCCCTTCATTACTCCTCATTTCTACTTTGATTTATAGGGTTTATTTGCAGAGCTGACCTCCTTGGGTGCCATATTGACCTCCCAGGGGTCAGAGGTCATAAAGCTGTTAGGTTCGGGTTCAGCGATATCAGAGACCTCCACTTGTTTTGACCTGCTGATGCAGCGTGTATGTGACATTCAAAAGACTCTCGCTGATAAACAGGAGCAGCTACAGGAACGAATAAAACACACGACTCCGCTGCAGGTCAGACTTTTATCTGCTTATTACCAAGAGTCACTTAAAAATTCTCCTGCAGTTTAGATTACTAGACACACTAAATGGTTCAGAAAATTGATGCTTATATGTTTACAGTGTTATGTGTCAGCAGTTACATTTCTTCAGGTTTTAACACCACAAACCTTCGGATATCTCGCCTTCATAACTGTCACACTTGTTTGTTATGAAAAATCTTGTGTCATCATAATGTCAGACATAATGTTCTTTTCAGTCTCATGTTTAATCCCATAATTCTACCTCTTCATTTAAAATGAGCTAGAAGTATTTAAGGTCTTATTTTAATATTTTTTTGTACACTTATTTTGACCTTTTTTGTAAAGTATGTCTCAATTGTAATATTTCCATGTGTGTCAAACCTTCAGAAGAGAGTGAAAGACCTGCATGACTCAGTACTAACTAGCACGTCAATCCTTCACCCTACAACTAACGGAGAATCCCACCATGACCTTCACACACAGCTGCAGGTAAGACACAAGCCTGTCAATAACACTGCCTGTAACACCTCACGCTACTGGAGAAGTAACACTCTTCTACATTTCTGCAAGAAAAAAATGCTGATGTCTTCATTGTACATTTGCTGACTTATATCTATGCATATAAGTATTTGTGAAATCTAGCTAACAAAATATATATTGTGTGTTGGAGTGGTCCAGACGCTACAGTTTCTACAATTTTGTAGCATTTAAATTGAAGACCACTCATAATGCTAGTCAGGGTTTCTTGCACCAGAGACAGTCGTACTTTAGTTTTTCTTATTAGTTCTGATCCACTCATTTGATTGGACAAGCATCATTCCAGGAGTGCAGATATGTTATGTTCTTCCTATTAGGTCTTAATTGCGCTTGAAGTCTGAGATTTTGACTTTTTCTCTACCTGTGATTCCATGTGAAGGCCATCACTGGAAGGAAACAGGAAGTGGAGCAGAGCGAGAGAGAGCTGGCAGAACTTAGAGAAGAGACAGAGAGTCGAGATCAGCCCTCATCCCTCACACAGCAGATCAACACACTAGAGGTATGGGTGTGCAGCATTCAGAATTTACTATAAAATACCTTTCAGATTCCAATTCCTTGTAGCCAGCATGAGACACAATTGAAATTGAAATCTAAATTGACAGTAGATGACTTAAGTAGAATTAAAATAGAATTATTGACAAAAATGTCAATGTTATGTAAAGCAAATGCTGTAAGTGTAGTTTTTAAAACTTATTACAAACTTATTATTTATTAATTTAATAATTATTAACATGTTACAATACAAACAATATATACATTACCTGATATTAATAATTGCAATGCCACTGCCATAAATACAGTACCTTTCAAAAGTTTTTTTTTCCTTATTCAGCAAAGACACATTACAGTTTTTCTCAATTGCTCGATCTCAATTCTTGACTGAGAGTTTTTTTTTCTCAAAACAAAAAGTTCAGATGTTCAGATGTAACAAAAATTAGTTTCTTGGTCACATCAGATTTCAATTTCTTATTGATTTAGGCAAATTGCATATGTTTTGGCACGTGTGCAAATGAGTAAGTACAATTCTCTACAGTTTGCACAATAACTAAATACATATTGGCTTGTTGATCAAAACTGATGAGTTTATTCTCAATGAAACTGTCAAACTCTTTACAACTACAAAACATTCTTTCATTCTTTCATCCAGCCATCACATGCAAAATGATCCATTCAATTATCAAAATCTGTTAGACATGCGCTTATATTCCATAAATATCTGACATGGAATGGTTGTAATGTCTGCTAAGTTGGCAAATGGCTTGCCATTAGGGTTGCAAAGGGGCAGAAAATTACTGGAATTTCTGGAAACTTTCCAGGATTTTTTGGAAACTTTTGGAATCATTTTGTAAATATTGCTAAACTTTTGGAAAATTTTCAGAAATTTACCAGAAAATTTCCACCCCTTTGCAACCGTACTTGTCATTGTAATGAAATAGGGATTACAATCTTGACAATCAATCAAGCATATACTGTATATGGAGTTTGCCCAGCACAATCACTACCATTTTTGAATGAGGAAGGTCACAACCCTAAACAGCAGTACTATATAAATACATTTATATTTGTACAGTACATTTATCTGTAAAAATGTGTTATATGTAAACTGAAAATTCACAGTTGCTTGTTGTGGAAGAGCAATAGAAATATTTGTAAGAATGTGTGGTGGTGGTGTTAGGGGAAGATGATAAATTGTTTAAAAATGAATAGGCATTGATGAATTTTCAGTTTACAGGTAACACATCTACAAAAATAAATGTACTGTATAAACACACATTTTCATTTTCATTTTGTGTACTACAGTATTGATGTTTCCCAATACATTTTTTACCAGCTGTTGAAATTTGTAACTAAAATGCTCAGTGCTCAATGTCAGCTCAGACAATATAGTATAGTATAGTATAGAAAGCAGTCTGTCAACAGAAAAGTAGAAAAAAAATACTTAAATGTTAAATTTGCATATAACAAGAAATTAAATTAAATTAGCAAAAAATAAATAAATTCCTTGTGTGTTTGCACACACTTCGCGAATAAAGCTCATTCTGATTCTGATTCCGAAAAAAAAACATCTAAACATCTTGGCTCACAAGATGACTTTGGTCTCTGACACAATAACTAGGTTTTGAAGCATGAATGAAATGTTTTGGGTGAGTTACAACATTTTGCAGACATGCAATAGAGTTCTGATGTTCCAGAAAACAGTTGTGATAATTGCATTTACAGTTTAGAGAATGTTAAGGCTGTTTTGAAAAATGTGCCAAAGCGATTGAGAAAAACTGTAAATGTAAACTGTGCCATTTATTAGTGCCATTACAAAATATTAAGCAGCACACTTGATAATTATAAGAAATGTTTCTTGAGCACCAGCATATGAGAATGATTTCTGAAGGATCATGTGACACTGAAGACTGGAGTAATGGCTGCTGTAAATTGTAAAATACACTCTCTGTAGGCAGTATTGGACAGTGTTTGGAGTGATCTAGAGCAGCGCTGTGGAGTTGTGCAGTGGAGTCTAGATGAGCGGAAGATGAGTGAAAAAATCCTGAAGGGTCTGCAGATGCTCCTGACTATTGGAAGAGAGAAACTCACCTACACCTCTCAGCTGGAGCTCAGGAATCCAGCACAACTACAGACACACCTCAACACACACACGGTAAACATATCACACACATTCAAACACCCTAACTAAATGCACACACACATAAAGCCCTGAAAACAAATAAGTAAATCAGCTACACAAATACATTAAAAAACACACACATTACATCACACATGAATCGTGCACAATATAGCACAGGTCCTGCAATCTCTCATTCACCTCCCTAACTTTGTAAATCTACAGGTGTTTTTCCTGTCTCTGGGTGCCCACCTGAGGAGATTGCAGCAACTGAGTGTGCGGATGCCAGACAGCACCTCCTCTGGCTGGGAGACTGAAGTGTCTGAGGTGGAAAGTGAAGTATCCAGTGTTCTGCAGCAGGCTCAGGCTATCGGCACAGTGCTGCACTCAGCACTGCAGGTACGAGAGTGAGGGAATCATGAAATCATGTGGAATGACTCTTATTACAGTTTTTCTGTATGGAAAGCTGCATCAACCAAGAAGATACAAGAATGGAAAAGAGATTGATGTATAAATAAAAGAACAAACAAATGGGATTGATGTGTGCATGAATACAAGAACTGGTAGACTGAATGTCCAGCAGCAGCTTTTATTATATTTTTAGTTAATACTCCTCTGCCCTTGATAAGGACTTTGATGTATTTCAGGTTTGCACTCAGTGGGATGAAAATCATTCCTGGTTAGAAACGCTTCTGCAGAGGCTAGAGACTCAAGTTCCAGTAACACCTCTGCAAGACCAAACTGAGGAGCAGCTCAGCGAGAATATTTCTGTCCATCATGTAATGGTTTAAACTTATATATAGTGAACTGACACACATATATACCTTTAAATAAGAATGCAGCAATATTTGAAGATCCCTGATCTCCACTTGTTGTCTGTGATAGAGTGTGTTGGTGGTTCTGGAGCAGAACAGAGCTCGGATCAGTCTGGTTCTGGATGAGGGCTGCAGACAGCAGGAGCAGATTTCTAGTAGTGAAATAGGTTTTCCTATATACATATTGGGTGTGTCTACAGCCAGACTGGAGCAGCGATTGGCTGCACTTCAGAGGAAGGTGGAGCAAGGGCTACACTCCACTCTCCATCTTAAGAAGCTTTGGAACAGGTAAAAATGAATGATGTGGGTAAAATTAAGCCAGCCAGATTTTTCACTCTGAAACCATTCTTGCCATTTCTTTACACAATATGCATAATTTTATTCTATCTCGGTCTGAGTTTTAAAATCACTTATGTACTTATGTCTTATGTACTCACTTAAATTATGTTTAATAAGGGAGAGATGGAAACGTACAGAGGAAAAATATAAAGAATTACCACTACACTTTTTTCCAGGTACCAAAGCGATTCAGAGGCTTTGAATGAGTGGATGGGACGAGCCAGAGAAAGCCTCCATACATGGAGAGATCACATGACCACAGCTGAACAGGAAGTGGACACCCTCTCCCATTTTCAGCACTTCACAGTCAGTCATCCAGTGATTCTAATCATTAATTTTTAGTTTATATTTTGAACAATAAGATGATTAAAAACTTGATGACTATAGCTACATAAAACCTTAGTTTATGCATGTTAAATACATATTTATTACAATTAGGTTTAGTTTTAATGATGACAGCACTTGTTATATTAGGACATTTTTGTAACTGTGATATTTTTGATGCAGGAGTTTGTGAAGGAGCTAGAGGTGAAATCGGCCCTAAAGGCATCAGTGATCAGTTCTGGATCTTTGATCCTGTTGCTCAGTGAAAGAGAGCAGAACATTGAGACACAGACCTACAAGCCAAGTGAAACTAGCAACTGCACATCTGTAGATATCACCCTCCCTTCAGAAACCAATGTTTCTTCTATTCAAAACATCTCCTCAGATGAAACTCTTTCTATAACAGAAAGATCAGATGCAAACATCACAAATGAAGGTGCTGTCTTTGAGGAACCAACCGCATCTGCATTTGATTTATCTGTAAAACAAGAGATGGTTCTGTCACCAGTTCTCCTGACTCTGCAGTCCCAGCTATCTCAGGTGGAACAAGACTGGGTGGAGATACAGACACTCATTCCTGCCACCCAACAGGGACTGCATCAGGTACATCATTACTAACTGCTCCCTGGATAGTTGGAAAGAAAGACCTGTCAGTTTCATGTTCTTCAGTTTGGAGCTTTGTCTCTCTGAGGGAGAACATTGTGTATAAAAAGTTATCATGGAGGTCAGGCAGCCATCCAGACATGATTTCCTGTATTACTCAGAAGCTGATGAAATCTTTGAGTAGTAGAGTCTGTCCTTTTTACTATCCATTATCTGGTCTCTTTCTTGTTCTCATCCCCTTTTTCTTCTTTGATTACATGTGTCACCCCTAACCCGGCTCCACTGTTTTCTTTCTTCTCTATTCCCTCCACCTCTGTCTATCACTTTCATCTGTCTTTATTCCCATTCTGTGTTCTCTTTCTCTCTCTCAGAGTGTGGTGGAGAGCCTAGCTCCTGAAGGACTGCTGGCTGATGTGTGTGGCTGGATTACCGGTGCTGAGAGCAGGTTACAGGTGGCTGAACGAGAGGATCACAACACCTGTACTGCTGCAGTGTTCACACACCTGCTCAGAACATATCAGGTACCTTGCTCACATTTTAATCTCTCCATCAATTAAAAAGTATAATTAGCAAATAAAATAATTATCTTTGATTAAACATCAGTGCAAAATAACAGATTATTTTTCTTTTAAAACTAACAAATGGTAAAGAAATCAATAATCAGCAAAGGTATGTGAATAAAATTATTATAAAAGTAACTAAAATCTGCAAGTAATTTACTCCGTTATAGTAAAATAAATAATATAAAGTACAAATATAACAAAAAGGAAGACATTATGAATCTTGTAATTAAACAAAAATATTTATTTTCCTTTCATTGAATTTTCAATTTATTGTGGTTTATTAGCATTAAAAACATACATTTGTATTGCCAAAGTGTTTGCCATAAAAAAGAGTTGTATAAAGAAAACAATTCTGAAATAAAATAGTTAAATAAAGTAATAAAATATAATGCAGAGTACACTTAGCTTAGATAAAGAACAAAATGACAACGGAATGAAAATAACTGAAATAAAAATGTGCAAGTGTAATCAACTCTCTCTTTCTTTTCTCTTACAATTTCAGTTTGTGCTTTGTAAGTGAAGTGCAAAGTAAAACTTAGAAAGTAACATTCAGCAAATACTATATATATATATAGAGAGAGAGAGAGAGAGAGAGAGTACATTAAACAAGAGTAATTAACCTTTTCTCTCACCATCTATTTTATTGAATTTACTGATGGCGAAGTAGTTTTAACTTTCAGCAACTTTCTTTTGGATTTACCTGTCTCTTATTCTCTTTCTGTCTAGGGGATGAAGAGAGAGATGGGATGTCAGCAGATGTCCGTTGACTTTATTAATCAGTGTGAGCTGAAGCAGGTCAGTTTTGACTCTCACACCAGCAGGTACAAACACACTGCATTTGCTGAAAACCTGGAACACGTCAATCTGCGCTGGAAAACTCTACGGGCTCACCTGAACACACAGGTGAGTAGTTTATTATCATTATTTATTATTATTCCAGAAACCAATACAGATTAACATAGTGTGTACTGTGTTTTTCAGATCCAACATGCTGAAGATCAGGTGAGGATATGTGCAGAGCGAGATAGCAAACTACAAATCCTGCAGCGCTGGGTCAAAGGTCAAAAACAATGGATGCGACTGGCTGAAAGACCCATCAGTCGCTCATTTGCTGAGAGGAGCCTGAAGGATTGTGAAGTGAGTCGCTGATGTTTTCTGATTGTGGTAACTGATTATGTTGATGCTCACATACCTTTAAAACTTTCAAAAGCTTTTCAGTTTTGATTTGAATTTATTTATATTACATTTTAGAGGACGTTTACTTGTCTTTCTTTCATTCTCAGGAGCTGGGGGAAAAGTTGAAGTACAAATTCGCAGAACTCGCTGAGCTGGGGAAGAGGACACTTACCGCTGATGAAGAAGACAGTGATAAAGACTTCCTCTCAAAAGTTCATAATCTTTCACAATCTTTGACTGACCTCTCTCAACAGGTATGGAGACAGAAACTTGTTCCTGTGAGTTAAAACAAAACCGTCAAATATTTATAAACACTCTTTGAGTGCATTTAATTAGGAATTTAATCATAAATGTTCATTTTCTAGAGTACAGTCCTTGGGAATACCCTGAAAGAGCTGTGTAAGGTGTGGGCTCAGTTTGAAAGTGGGAGGAGTCAGGCAATTGTAAACACAATGAGGATCTGCCAATCACTGGAGTACTGCCACGCCCCTCTGCCCTCCCTCTCTGCCCTCCAGAACAACATTGATAAGCTACAGGTGTTGACAATCAAAAACACTGTTTTTTTCCCCCAAGCTGTTCCTGATTGTATGTCTGCATTAGAGAATGATTCAATTAATTTAATTTATTTATTTATTTATTTTTTAAATTTTGTCAAATTTGTTAACTTAAGAGTAAACTTTTGGCTTGAGAGAGATACTTATTATGATGTATTCTATATTCACAAATTATTATTTGCAGGTCTTAAAAGCAGAGACAAGGGAGATTGACAGCCAGTGGGAGGATCTTACCAAGACAACAGCAATTCTTATTGGTGGAATTAGTACAGACTCCACCCAGATGTTATTGGAGCACCTAGAAAAAGAAAAAGCAAGGTTAGACTTCCCACATAGCAGCAAAACAATGTGAATGTGCATGTAAATGTTCGAGCTAATACACTTTGTATCACCCTCTAGGTGGTCAGTGGTGAAGGAAAAGGTAACAAAGGCGTTGCAGAAATCACACAGTCTTCTGAAAGTGTGGCAGAAATACTCTGATGTGAGACGCTCCTGTTCAGAGCAGCTCCAACATCTCAAAGAGCAGCTCAACACGCATACCAAAACACCCGCTGACAATAAACAACTCACACACAGCATCGCAGAGCTGAAGACTGTGAGTACAATGCAAAGGCAGATAACCATCCATTTAAATACACAAACTAAAGTGGGGTCCAAAAAGTTTCAGACCACACTGAAAATCTGGGATTTTTTAAAACCAGAAGAGTTATGATTTAATAATATAATATAATATAATATAATAAAGTATTAAGAATGAATAAAAGTATTAAGAAAGAGTACAAAAAACTTTTGGACTGCATTACAGTATATGTGACAGGCTGTGTTATTGTCTTATTTCCTTCTTTTAGGTATTACAGAAATGCTCAGAGACTCTGCAGACTGATGTGAATGAAATACTTGAAGTGTCTAAGGATCTGATTGAACAGATGGATGATGAGGATGCAGTTTTCATCCGATCAGAATGCCGTTTGTTAACACGAGGTTACCTGCAGTTAGAACAAACTCTGAAAGGAAGAATTGAACACATGCAGGTAAGACTTACACACATTAGCATCTGTGCTTTAATAAGCATGGGAGTGTTTGAAGTATTACTCATTTCAATAAAAAAAAAATGTCTGTTGTTGTTTTTCTGCATAATATGTCCATGCTCTGTCAAGTTCCGAAAAGGACAAAAACCCCCACAATAGTAGCACCAAGTATCATAATAGTACTCTATAAGTCGTCAAACACCATGAGAGTGAGTAAATGCTGACATCATTTTTGACTCTTCCTTTAATTCAAAATATGTGTCTGTTCAGGAGGATCTTGAGCAATTTCAAGAATTTGAAAAGTCATTCCAGTCCCTCGAAACACAATTACAGCAGTGGGAAAGCAAGCAAAGGATGGACAGTAAACTCACAGATATATCTCAGGTAATAAAAAATCATACACATGCATAACTCATTGACATAATTTTATTGAAGAGATGTCCAGTATTAATGGTTTCCATGTTTTCTTGTCTACAGTCGGGTCTGATGGAGGTCAGTTCTCTCTCTCCTGATCTGGATCTACTAAACAATCTCAGCTACAGGCTGACCCTCAGTGACCCCATGACACAGAGGCTGCAGCACCTCAACAGGAAGTGGGCACAGGCCTCCGCACATGCTCAGGAGAAATGCAGGTGACCGGCACTTATGACCAGATCACCTGAGAAAGACACTAATATCAGATTCAATACTCAGCATATTACATGTTTATGTGTATATTGTGTGTTTAGTGAGTTGCAGGCAGCCTCTCTCCTGCAGCAGAGCTTTGAGCAGAGATGTGAGAGCTGGCTGGCTTTCCTACAGCACATGGAGGACAGTTTGGCTGTAGAAATTGCATCAACTTACCCTGAACTAAGAGAACAACAACGAACACACCAGGTACAACAGTCGACACACCCACAAATGCAACACACATGGATCATAGATCCATCATAGACCCAAAAAATCTGACTCCCCCCAAAAATATATTTTTCTCTCCTTCTCTTCTAGTGTTTTCAGGCTGAATTGTCTTTAGGCCATCAGATCCTTCACTCTGTGATCAGTGAATCTCTCCTCCTGTTGCAGAAGGGAGATGTGGAGGACAGGTGACGATTCTCAACTTGTTTTTTTGGGGGGATTTTTCAATCTCTGTTTTGGATTTAATATGATTTTTTATGGTTGCTTGTGACATACAATATGATTCAGAAGTTGGGGCAATGAGTATTTTTTAATTTTTTTTTAAGAAATCAGGACTTTAATTCAGCAAGGATGCATTAAATAGCTCAAAAGTGACTGTAAAGACATTTATTTATGTTTAAAAATAGTTTTTATTGCAAATGAATGTTCTTTTGAGCATTCTAATCATCAAAGAATCATGAAAAAGATGTGTTATGGTTTCCACAAAAATATATTAAGCAGCACAACAGTTTTTAATGTTGATAACAGTAAGAAATGTTTCTTGAGCACCAAATCAGCATATTAGAATGATTTGACACTGAAGACTGGAGTAATGATGATGAAAATTCAGCTTTGCCATCACAGGAATAAATTACATTTTAAAATATATTAAAACAGAAAAGAGTTGTTCAAAATTATAATAATGTTTCACAATATTATTTTTTTCTGTATTTTTGACCAAATAAATGCAGCATTAATGAGTATGAGACTTTTTTCAAAAAAATTTAGAAACTCTTACTGACCCCAAACTTTTGAACCGTAGTGTAATATAGTATTTTATCACTTTGTCATGAAAAAATTACCTACTTTTATAACTATTAAGTTGATACCTTGAAGTTTTATATTTAGAATTCAACATGAGATTTGTAGTTTTAGTAACCACTTTGCCTGTGCCCTCAGGAGTGACTTCCTGTTAAAACTGGCACAGCTGAGAGAGCACTGGCAGGGAGCGGTGCAGAGAGCAGATCAACGGCGCGCTCTAGTGGAAGGGCTCATACAGCACTGGCTCCTTTATACACACACAATGCAGAAACTCCGCAAACTCCTCACACTCACACACACAATCTTGTCGCCTGCCGGTCCCACACACTGTAGTGTCCTGCAGTTGCGCCTCTTGCTGGAAGATCTGAAGGTAACAAGATGATTTTCAAATATCACTGTTATTATTGATGAAGATATTGTATAAGTCGAAGTACTCTATATCAGAATCAGAATCAGAAGAATCAGATTTATTCATATTGACACCTTCGCTTGCAGTTGTTAGTGACAAAAGAGTCGGTTTGTTTTTTGTTTTTTTTGTTTCACCATTTCTCCCTCTCTCTTTTTTGTTTGTACCCTTTACTCTCTCCCTCCTCTCTCTCTTTCTCTCTCTGTCCCTGTAAAGCGAACAGAGCTGTTGTTTCAAAGGTCAGTCTCTGCGTATCTGTGTGTGATGGAGGTAGGCAGGCAGCTGTTCTCAGTGAGTAACACGCAGACGCAGATGCAGCTGCAGACAGACCTGGCAGCCCTGCAGGAGGACTGGAAGCAAAGCCAGTGCATGCTGGGAAAGAGAAAGACTCTCACATCTGACATCATAAAGGTAAGATGGATTCAAATGGGACCTCTGAATTAACTAACTCTTGTGTTTTATTGCTTCGTTCTATAGACATGCTATTGTGTTTACAATGTAGACTTATATGGTAATGTCAGCTATTTTTATCCTTATCCTTATGTTGAATGTCAAAGGTCACATTGGAAGCACATAAAGCTTTGTGAGTGTGTTTGTGTGATCAGACTTTTTTTTCTAAAATAGTTTTCCTATGATCATGGAAACCTAGAAATATTAGAAAAGTCTGACTTCTAATCTAAACCTGGGAAAGAAATTGTTTTAAAAAATCATGGAAATGTCCAGAAAAAAATGTGTAGACAATTTATACATTTACGATTTTTCAGTACTCATCTGTAAAACATTTGATCATCTATAAATATATAATTGTGTGTGAAATCGCTATAATTGTTTTTTTTTTTCTTATCCAGTTATCATGAACAAATAGGAAAGTATGTTCTAGATGTCAGATATCATTCCTATCTACTATACATATCAGCATTTATGAGGGTAAAGTTTATATAACAAAACTAAGTGAAATTTCCCCTTGGAATTTTTATGATTTTATATGATTTTATGATTAGATAAGAAATAGCAGGTTAGATAGGAAATAGCAGGTTATGGATTGTCAATCTTATGAACACCTATTCAGAGCTGCTCCAGAGAACAACCAATATTAACTGTCTGTCCGTGTATTGACACGTCTAAAACTTCACCGGGAATAAAGTCTGCCATTATAGACTACCACTCTAGAATAGAATGATACAGGGCAACACTCAATTTTGGATTGTGTTTGTGTGTGAAGAATTAGGAGATACTGTATTATGTTGGTTTTGTGCAGGAATGAGTCCATCTGAGTTTGACCTACATTCCCTCTGATTCAACAGCTGGACTAATCCAGATCAGACCTTTGCGCACACACTCCTACACAACCACAAGCACATTCATTTTAATATCTGTCTGTCTGTCTACCTATCTACCTACCTACCTACCTGTTGTCTGTCTGTCTGCCTTCCTGCGTGTCTTGTCTGTCTTTCTTTGTCTGTCACTTTATGTCTATTTGTCTGTTTCTCTGCTCCTCATTCATAGTTGACCTTGATTGTAGTTTAGATAATATGAAGACACACAAAACATAGGCTTTGTGTGTGTGTTCATGAGTACATGCACTTGCCATGTGCTAAATGGTTTATAGTAATGCCTGTCTAGGGATTTACAGCTCTCCCTGTCTGTCTCAGCCTTTCTGTCTCTCTCTCACAGTCTTTATTTTTGTCTGTTTTTATTTCTCATGCAACACATTATAAAATGAATGCCAGCGCACTGAAACATTTTGCCATATTCTCTGGAGTTTCCTCTGTGCACTATGTCTTATTAGAATATGGTTTTATTTGTATTATACTGTATATGTGACGTGCGTGTACAGTATTAACATGTAGATGTGTGTGTGTTGGGATAACCCAACGCTGGTGTGTGTTTGTGCATGCATGTGTGTTTACATTGCCCCTAGTCGTGTCTTATCTTTTCATTTGTCTCTGAGCCGGGACATTGGTCTGATTTAGTGCACACTGACCTTCCACAGTGGACATCTGGACACCTGTTCATATGTTTGTGTGTACATATCTACCCTCACATAGCCATAAGCTCTCTGTGTTTTCTCTGCATTATTTTTGAATTTCCTGACTAATGATTGAGTCGGGTCCATCCCCATATAAAGAGGCTTACAGATAAGATATTAAATCAAAAACATGTTAGAGCATTATAGCAGCCTCTATCCATATGTTTTTTTAATTATTTTGCAGAAATGGGAGACCTGTGAGACCAGGCTAGCTGATCAGGCCCAGTGCCTGGAGGAGGTACGAGCCAGACTGAAGCAGTCGATCCCAGATCAGCAGGAGGAGATGGAAGAGGAACACCTCCTTGTGAAGGTACACTTAACTCCAAGAGGTGAACTGATTTGCTCCACTTCATGTACTGTTGACTGACTTGGTACAGTGAGTGTAATAAGGAGTGAATTACTCACTTAGAATTTTTTCAACAAAAGCATCATTTAATAATGTAATTTTTTTTTAAAACACCTAAACGGTTGTGGTGTTTACATTTACATTGTCATTTTGCAGACGCTTTTATCCAAAGCTACTTACAATTGGGGAATACATAAAGCGATTCATCTTAAAGAGGTAAACAGTCATAAGAAAGTGCTCGCAATACCAAGTTTCAGGCATTGTTTAAATCAGTTCAAGCTAGAAAGGGAAGGCATAAATAAAGAGAAAAACAATGTCTTGAACTTGATGTGAGCCGCAACCAGTAGCCAGTGCAAGGAGATAAGGAGAGGTGTAAACATGGGCGCTTTTGGACTCATTGAAAACCAGTTGTGCCGCTTCATTCTGAATCATTTGTAGAGGTTTGATTGTGCTTGATGGAAGTCCAGCCAGAAGAGCACTGCAGTAGTCCAGCCTAGAAATGACAAGGGCCTGGACAAGAAGTTGTGCAGCATGCTCTGTTAAAAAGGGCCTGATCTTTCTGATGTTGTGTAGTGCAAACCTGCAAGATCGAGCAGTCTTTGCAATGTGGTCTTTGAAGGTCAGCTGGTCATCAAAGATTATACCAAGACTGATGGGGTAATTGTAGAAGAACCTAGCTGGATGGTGAAATCATGCTGTAGAGTTGGAGTGGCAGGGAAGACAAGAAGCTCAGTCTTTGCCAGGTTGAGCTGTAGGTGATGTTCTTTCATCCATGCCGAGATGTCCGCCAGGCAGCCTGAGATCTGTGCAGCTACCGTAGGATCATCTGGTTGAAATGAGAGATAGAGCTGTGTGTCATCAGCATAGCAATGGTAGGAGAAGCCATGTGCCTGTATGATGAGACTCAGTGATGTAGTGTATATGGAGAAGAGGAGGGGTCCAAGAACCTATCCCTGAGGGACCCCAGTGTTTTTTTTTTCATTCATTGATTTATTAAACATGTTACTTTTGAGAACATCCTGGATGTTTTGTTATATTTAACTTTTGGTTTAGTAAAGCTAATGGTGCAAGTTAGTTTTAGCTGCTTGTGCTAAAATCACTAATAACAGCTTTTGTTGCATGACACTTTGGATTTCCCTTCTTCCCTGCTATAGGCTTATTCAGCTGTGATTCTCCTCCCTCCCTCCCTCTCTCTCTCTCTCTCTCTCTCTCTCTC